AAATATGACACCTTCATGTGAATAGGATGGAATAAGTATATAAATGTATAAATAGTATGTTAATAAATAACAAAAAAGTAAATAATAATAATAATAATAATAATAATAATAATAATAATAATAATAACAATAATAAAGATCCAACAGTGTTTGTGGTTGTATTATTTGATTCATAAATTATGATATTGTGCTATGAATTTAATATATCTGTGTGTGTGTGTGTGTGCGTGCGTGTGCATGTGTGTGTGCATGTGTGTTTGCATGTGTGAGTGTGCTGTGTGTGTGCGCGTGTGCGCGTGTGCGTGTGCTGTGCTGTGTGTGTGCGCGTGTGTGTGCGTGTGCGTGTGCGTGTGCGTGTGTGTGTGTGTGTGTGTGTGTGTGTGTGTGTGTGTGTGTGTGTGTGTGTGTGTGTCGAGTCTGACGCAGTGTTGGAAAGTTGTGTGGTTGTGCCATACAGGTGTAAAGGAACAGAACCAAGTAAAGAGGAAGGGAAAATACAGATACAGTTTAAAAAAGAAGAATGGTAAATGGCCTGTATTTGATATAGCGCCTTCTAGAGTCCTGAAACCCCCCAAGGCGCTTTACAACACAACCAGTCATTCACCCATTCACACACACATTCACACACTGGTGGGGATGAGCTACAATGTAGCCACAGCTGCCCTGGGGCGCACTGACAGAGGCGAGGCTGCCGAGCACTGGCGCCACCGGTCCCTCCGACCACCACCAGCAGGCAACGTGGGTTAAGTGTCTTGCCCAAGGACACAACGACAGCGACAGACTGAGCGGGGCTCGAACCTGCAACCTTCCGATTACGGGGCAAGCACTTAACTCCTGTGCCACCGTCGCCCCTAATAAGAAAGAACTAAAAAGAAGGGGTGATGGGGTGTGAAGTGGTGAAGAACAGGTGATCTTATCATCTAGAAAACGGATTTAGCAGCTGTTTAATCCTGACGTGATCAAACCCAGTGAATCCTGATAAGAATAATAAATGTCTGACCTGATGTTGGGCTAATACAGCCAGTCAGTCACTCCTCGCTCCTTGTAAAGCTTATTGTCCACATAAAGCTTATCCACCGAGATGACAGCTCTCTTCCCATCCTGGATAAACTTTTTACGCAGCGGAAAGAGGACCCGGCGTCGATCCAGAATCTCCTTCGGGAACTGATCATTCACGCTGAAATCTTTTCCTTTGAGCTCTCTTCCGTGACTTTTAACAAGCTCTTTCTGCTTAAAATGTTCAAATTTAGCCACGATGGGACGAGGTTAGGGTTAGGGTTCGTCCCATCGAAGCTGTATGGTTTAATGGAACAAATGCCATCGCCTTGCTTCACTTTATTCTATCCTGCTAAAGCTAGGCGTTAAGTCATCTTTATTTTATATTGTGGAGACTGGAGTTCGTAGTGATAATAAACATTTGAGAAAAGAAGTTTTAACTAATCAATCAATTAATCCAAACTTTATTTACATAGTTAATACATGGCAATGCAATGTGCTTCACTACATATCAATACACATGAATATGCTGCAGAAAAATTGGATAAAAATCTGTAGACATCAATATAAATTACAATTGCATTCACACATATCAGTCTGTATACTTCTATACATCCCTTCGTACATGCATACATACACTTCACGACTTCAGGCTTTACTGCAGAGACAAGTTTCTATGCTTCAGAACGCTGTGGCAATGACAATGAAGTCTTATTCTTCAGACTGGCCTACATGTTCAAACCAAGGGGTCACTATGGTCTTTATTTTTTTGAAGCCAAGGAGGAGTGGCTAAAATTGCAGTTCCACCCTCATCCGCTAGGGGCTGGCAGCAGGAGTGAGCTAATCCTCATTGACTCCCATGTTAAAAATGAAAAATTCACAGCAGAAATAAACATGTTTACAGCCTGGTTAAAAAAAATAAAACATTTTAGGTTTAATAGATCTAGTTACAGTCATGACTGTCACAAGGTGGGTTGGAGGAGGAGGACCCAAAATGCAGAACCGGATGAATGAGTCAGAGGTGGAAGGTAAAAATAAAAATCCTTTATTTAGGAGAAATCCTTGAGGGAAGGGAGTCAAAACACCAATATCCAAAAACAACACTCGAGACCTAGAAACACTCGAGACTACAGAGGAGAACGAGACAAGACTGACAGAGAACAATGGACCAACCAAAACACTGACAGGGCTTATATACACTGGGGCATGATGGGAGGCAGATGGGCTGCAGGTGTGTGGAGAGAGAACCAGGTGAAAGCAATTAACTAATATTCTAAGGGGAAGGAAAAACTACAAACACTGGTGGGAAAAAACACTCTAAAGAGACTAATAAAAATGAAAAGCTGAAACTATAAAAAGTTGTTTTGTTGAATTGTTTTGAAACTCTTCTGTTAAAGTGTAATGAAATGCTTCAAATTTTGAATAATTAATGAGCATCTGAGCCATGTGACTTCAGGGCTAGCTCCGGGGAAAGTTATTAGATGTTCGGCCATTTCGGCTCTCTAAACTTTAGTTTTGTCTGTGTGTTTGTGTTTGTGTTTGTGTTTGGATGTTAATCATGGAAAATTTTGGACAAAGAAGGCAAGCTGTGGTTATTGACTACACTAACAGATCATCCAAGCAGTTTCTGCTTGTTTTATCAGTAAGTCAAATACAATTTCTGTAGTTTATTTTGCTGGTTGAATGGAGGGAAATGCTGTGTCATTTACTGATTGGTCAAACATGTTAGTGGGGCTGCTGACTGGACAAGAAACTTGAGCGGAAGCCCGTTTTCTGTCTCCTGCCCGAGAAGAGTTGCTAGAGCAGGTGGCTGGCTGTTCCCGTTTCTGGGGGCAACCGACATGCTGACCGGCTCCCATGCGGTAGAGCGACGACGTTGGAGTTGTTTTACAATGTTAGCATGTAGCTAATGTCCCGCTGATCTCCACCTATGGAGAATGAGCTGATCTGAAAGGCCAGGGCTCTCGGTCACAGCGGTCTGGCTCTGCATGTAATTTAACAGTCCAAGTCCATATTAGATCTCCACAGGCGACCAGCATGACTACAGCATCAAGCGTATAAGCCCCACCCTGAGCTCCACCTCTTTTCCCATTTTTGGATTGTCTGGGCGTGGCTTGGTCAAAAGCCAGTGGTGGAAACCTCCCATTTTTGGCTTCATCTTTCCCCCGGTTGGAGCAATGGGCGGGCTACAGGGTATGTCCATATTCTTATATGGTGATGGTTCAAACATATACATAAATTTGCATGCACACTCCATTTAGTGTGTGTACCTGCTTCTCAATATGTGTACATTAGCACAGTACACATGCAACATCAAAATAAGATAAAAACAAAATAAGTAAAGTTAAATAAAATCAATAAACAAGCATCTTAATTGTAAGATTCTCTAAAATCAATATATAAAACGAACAAGAGCGTTCCTTAAGCATAAGATTCTCTGAATAAAAAGGTTTTTAACCTAGTTTATTCAAAGTGGGTGCTCTTCTAAGATCTAAAGGCAGAGTGTTCCAAAATGTTGGGGCACATGCACTGAAAGCTGCCTCACCTGATTTAGAGATTGCATGATGGAATTTTCAGATTACCTTGGTCTGCAGACCTGAGTGACCTGACTGATGCATAGGGGACTGACGAGTCCACTATGTCCTGTAGTGCCAAGCTATTAAAGCTGTTATAACTAATTTGGAAAACAGTTAGACTAAAACATTGGTCATGGCTCTTAACAACCTTCTAACACAATATAGTGAAGATACCCTAGGGGAGAGGTGGTTGTTTCGTTATATATAACAGCTTTAAGAGCTTTAAATACCAGTAGCATCATTAAAAAACATTAGGAGCGTGCCAATGTGAAAACGTGAGCTGAAAAAGTTCTTCCCTGACGTTTGCGCTTCTCACCCTCTCTAACTATGTCATTCCACCACACGTATAAGTGCCACAATTTACTGCCGTTATAGTGGGTGTTAGCGTTTCCACTGGCCATGAAGCAGATCCATTTTGGTTAGCTTATCACCATTAGTTGTTTAATTCTAGCTAGCCTCACAGCCAAGGGCTCAGATCTGAAGGGTTTAATCTTTTCTTTTACAAAAGTTTGGTTTTAGGACATGAGGTTTCTGCTCAGTTGTGGCAATATGCTATTTATCTTTTTACAATACAGTATATCAAAAACATTTCTAACTACTATTAAAATCTATATAATGACACGTAGCATTTTTCAGAGTTCCATTGAACAACCTGAAGGGGAAGTCTTTCTGCTTCTCTCTAATCGTCTCCATTAGTTAATCCCCAACAGATAACTTCTTCAATCAAAAACAAGGTGTGAGATTTGAACAAAGTCATCTTCTGTCTTTAATCAAAAATGTTTTAATGAGCATTTTCAGCACACCTCATAAGAAAGAAAGAAAAAAGTCTCAATAAGTTTTACTTTCTGTCGACCTCCTTTTGATAAGCATCTTTAAAATGGAAATCCCCAAATTTAATGGAAACTCGATTTAATGGTGTAAAAATAAGTATTTAGGTTTGAGATAAAAAACTGCAGTCTGATATATCACAAGAATAAATGCTGGAATGAAAAAGAAAACTTCTGTTCTGACAGAATTAAAGGAGTATCCATTTAATTTTGTGGGTATTTTTGCTTGCATGGTAAGACATCAAGCATATTTAACAACAGGTGAAGAAAATTTGTCGTTATTATTGTGGCAAGGTGGAGAAACGAGGGCCCGGGCGGGATTCAATCCCCAGACTCCTGGGTGAGAGTCATACACTCTAACCAGTCAGCCAAAGGGACATCCCCTTGGCCAATTAGCCAGGATGCCTGATCAATCGGGACACTGTGACAGGATGCTCACACTGTCACATTACTGTATAATCAATATAAAAGATAAGCATTTATATACATATAAATGACGTGTTTTCATCTTTCCCCCACTTCTTTGCTTGTCTTCTTCACTCTACCTCCCACACTCTTTGGTGCCCGTTGTCCCTCTTGCTTCTTGTCTCTTCTGCATCAGTTTATCTCTATTAAACCATGACTGTAGGCCCAACTGTGTGATGGTGTTTGAAGGAACAGAGCTGCAGCTCAGAGCCATCCAGGATATCTGCCCTGGAGACGAGGTGAGGAGGAAACGATGGCGTCAACCGTGCGGATCATTAATACGGTTTTATCGCCGGTCATGCCACGCCTGCTTTTATGCTCCTGCACTTTATGAACAATGTTTATTGATTTGACATTCATGGGCTGTTATTATTTATGATGCTGCTAATGATTTTTTTTATTTCTGAAAATGACATCTTCTTAAAATAATAATCATATTTGTGATGAACAGATCCATCGCTGTATATTTAATAGGTGATTTTTTTTAATGTTATTAAAGGAAACCTGAGTGAAACACATTAACACAGGCTGACAGCTCCTAACTTGGCAGTGTTTCTTCACTTTTTCATCATCCCTTGTGACCGTGTAATGAGATGCATTGTGACTTTATGTAATGAGATGCACCCAAGCCATCTGGACTAAAACACACTTGCACACACCCACACACTGCTGCATAATTTCCTCCTCACTCAGTTTTGCTCAAATTTAAGTTTTATCCAGTTTCTCTGAACTACACACTTCTACATAAATCCCCTGACTAAAGCTTCTTCTACGTTCATTTCCATGCTTTCTTTGCTTCTAGCTGACTATAAGTTACATCGAGACGTTGTCCCTGACGGAAGATCGACAGAAACAGCTGGAAGACCAGTACCATTTTTTATGCCACTGTCAGCGATGTGAGTCATCAGAAGAGGTCAGAAACACAGAAATTACACCAACACTGCCCACATAGGTGTGAATGTTCTGAGGTAGAAACGTGTTTGGGTTTGGAATTGTGTGTAATTCAGAAATTTTAAACTCAGTTATAAAATTTCCCCCTTAAAGTGGTCCAGTACATAGATGGTATGAAAGATGAAAATGTTGTCAGGCGTTGCATGGTGAGAGGGTGGCGCTGCGGCAGGGACAGACACAGAGTTGTGGCTGAAAGTCGGCTGTTTTTATACGCCTCAGCAGCAGTGCCGCTGACATCACATATCACTGCTTAGCCAATAGCGATGGGTGATTGAAATTTAAATACAGTGCAGACTTTTACCTGAAGAGGGAGGCACACAGTTGGTTTATATTTTAAATAAGATGTACTAAAATAACAAAATAATGACTACTGTTGGGGTTATTAGGTGAACGAATAATTTGTAAACTTTTACTTACTTTTTGATAAATAAATTCGTAAATATGGAAATATTTATCGATTTATTAATTAATTTGGATATCAAAGATATCTACGGGGCACCATCCCTTTCTAATTAGAAAGGGAAATGAATCCAAAATTATTATCAGTCTGTCTGAAGTTCGTAAATCCTTTTAGGAGCAGAGACTTTCAGCCAACACACACAAAGTCGCTTGACACAAAACTGAAATTCAGCAACCTTTATTACATCAACCTATTTTATCAAATTAATAATGAAATAATGAATAATAATAATGTGATGTAACAATCTGATATGGGTAATAAAAATGATGTTCAAGGTGTGTGTGTGTGTGTGTGTGTGTAATGTCCAAAATGGAGTCTGTATGACTCCCCTTTTGTCTCACCACTTGTGGAATGCGGGGGAGTGTGTGAGTGTGTGTGTGTGTGTGTGTGAGCTTGAGACCTTCAGTAAGGTGACCTTTTCTTCTCCCTCTCCAGACAAAGAAAAAGGGTTAGCTTGTACTTTAGACTAAATTTTACAGTAACTTAAACACTTCAAAAGTTTAAACCCGCTTCACAGAAATCAAGAGACAACACAAAAGATTAATCATAAATTAATCTCTAACAAAAGCCTGTCCAGCCTGGCCACAGCTGACAAACACTCCAGATATTAAACAGTTAAAACAAACGGACCTTACTTGGAGTTCCGATGGCGTATTTTGGTACGAAAGAGAAAAACCCGTCTCCTATTTTGAAGCAAATCACACGGTTGACTGCTTATTTTGGTCTAGAAGAGACGGAAGAAGTAGTTAGATAAGAAAAAAAAACTCTTCTCTGAGCGACTTCAAGGCGTCCCTTGGAAATCACGCTGAGCCATACGATGATTCCACGCTGCTCCTCCGCGGTTCGGCGTTCCCACATGTCCGAAGCTGCAGCAGCGAGCGATTTCTCTCTAACATAAACCGAAGCTGAGAACAAAGAGATCGTTTCCCTCTGGGCTTCAGTCCTTTATAGCCCCCCTTTCTCGGCGGGCTGGCCCTCTGTGAGTTCAGAGGTCATCACACTGCTTCCGTGTGCAAAGTCTTCTGGGAAATGAAGTCTCTTTTGGCGTTGATGCTGAAATATGCCTTCTTCAGAGAAATTTTGCACAGTCTTTTGGAGAAAATTACTGCACAGTAATTTCCTCATGAGGGTAGACCCTCAACATTCCCCCTTTTGGTTTAGGGGATCGCGCCAGAGCTCGATCGTCGGAAGCACAGATGGGTTCATCCCTCATGACGTTGGTCGACTTGGTCGTCGGTCGACTTGATTGTCGGAAGCACAGATGGATTTTTTTTTTATTATCTTTATTTCATTCAATAAAAAATAACACAACAGACACTAAACAATATTCATGAAAACACAATATATATTTGAATGAAAGGGAGCAGATAGAAGAAAAATCTTATTATTTCTACCCCCTTTTTAAACTTAAATATCAATTTATATTTGTGCAGTCCCTCACCAGTTCTTTCAGTCCCGTAACTGTTCACATTTGTTAATTATTATGTCCACATCAATTGTCCGTTGTCATATCCACTCAACACACGTGATTTAATGTGTAGACTGAACACTTTTAGAGTTCTTAACTCTTTCCATTCTCTGTCCAGGCAATTCCACAACTTCACTCCATTCACAGATATACTCATTTCCTTCATTCTTGTTCTAAATTTAGGTTTTTTGAAGATTTCAAATCCCTTCAACGAATAAATGCTATCTCTCTTTTCAAATATATGCTGAATATTCTTTGGCAATGTACCTTTATTTGCTTTATACATTATATGCAATATTCTCCAGTTGACCAAATCATGAAATTTAATTACTTTATATTTTATAAATAATGGATTAGATGGAGCTGTACTATGAGTGTTGTCTATAATTCTCATTGCTTTTTTCTGCAAAACAAACAAAGGTTGTGTATACGTTCTATATGCAGTTCCCCAGATTTCTACACAGTAATTTAAGTATGGCAGAATTAGTGCATTGTATAGTAATAACAATCCTTCACCATTTAGTAGAAACTTTACGCTATATAATACTGCAATGGCTTTGGCCACTTTACCTTTTATATAGCCTATGTGTGATTTCCAGCTTAGAGCTTCATCAATCATTACTCCCAAAAATTTGATTTCTTTTACCCTTTGAATTTCCATGTTATCTATTTTTAATATTACGTCTATATTTTCTTTGTCATTAAATAGAATGAAATTAGTTTTTTTAAGAATAAGTGTTAATTTATTTATATCAAACCAGTTTTTAACTTTTATCAGTTCAATATTTATCACATGAGTTACTTCATTTATATCAGACCCTGAATAAAACAGTGTTGTATCATCTGCAAACAAAACAGAACCTAGTTTGTCAGACACATTTACCAAATCATTGATATACAGGTTGAACAATAAGGGATTTGTCCCTTAGGAACATAGGTCTCCTTGGACGCCTTTGGTCTTTGTCTTGGTCTTTGTCTTTGGTCTTTGTCTTGGATCCTGGTCAGGTACAAAAACAAAAGAGGATAGGAAACGGGATAGTCCCCACGCGCATAACGAGGAGAAGCCACCCATGCAGGGGGTACGCAATGATGTCTTCATCCATGCGAGAGGTAGTAGTGTGGAAGGAGGGAGGCCGGCGGGCAGTTGACTCCACGAGGGGACAAAAGGGACAAGGATCATCAGTCCAGTCCATGGGGACAAGGGGCATCCGTGAGGGATAAAAGGGCATCTCACCGCCAGCCATACAGTTCAGTTCGTGGAGCACGCGGTGATGTACGAGGTCCATAGTTCGCAAACGCGCATTGGCCTATGTGGTCCCAAGACTACAATGTCTCCAACACTCATTTTTATAGTTTTATCGTCAAAAAAGGTTGATTAAGGGATAACTTGCTCTTTAATAAGAGCAACGTCCTAATTGTTGACATGGAGGGGGCGGGGCCTAAAACTGGAGCTTTGTCATTTGGCTATTCCATCTACCCACCCATCCAGTGTTGGGAAAGTTTGTTTTTAAAAGACCTAGTTCAAAGTTCAGTTCACACATTTTAAAATGAACTAGTTCAGTTCCAACTAAGTTCACAGTTCCAAAAATGAACAAGTTCATTTTTAAAAAAATAAGTAGGTGAGATATTACTCTCAGAATTCTGGCATTTTCCAGTTGTTGCCACCTCTCCAGTCCATACTCATACTCAGCAACAGCTTACCCATACAGTATATTCTCAGGAACACGAGGACAAACTCGCTGTTTAAAAAACTTTTATAAAAAGAGGAAATATTAAACAATCTGAGGGAAGAACCAGACCCACATGACCGTCCATCTATCCGCTCACACATCCATTCACCCATTCACCTAGCCATAAATACATCCTTCCTTCCTTCCTTCCTTCCTTCCTTCCTTCCTTCCTTCCTTCCTTCCTTCCTTCCTTCCTTCCACCCACCCCCTCCCTCCCCCCCACCCCCTCCCCCTCCAATGCTTATCCAGGTGCAGAGGTAACAGGTCCTGGAGGGAAGCCCAGTCGTTCCTCCCCTCAGTGATGCACTCCAGCTCCTCTTGGGGAATCCTGGGAGGACATTAACTCTCTCCAGTGAATTCTGGTTCTGGGGCGAGGTCCTCTGTCCAGTGGAACGCGCCTGGAAAACCTCCAAAGGGCAGCAACCAGGAGGCATTATTTTTAGATGGCCAAACCACCTGAAGTGACTTTTGATTTAGAGAAGCAGTCTCTCCTCCTCACTAAGGATGATCCCAGTCTCCCCAAGAGTATCTCATTCTTGCAGTCATCAATCAATCAATCAATCAATCAAAGCTTTATTTATATAGCGCCTTCCGCAACCCTGTCAGGAAGCCCAAAGCGCTGAACATGGTACAGTTGTAAGTAATTATATTGAATAAATCAACAGTAAAAGAAATTCAAATTACAAAATACAAATTACAAAATACAAAATGGAAATTACAAGATAGAAGAAACATTCCGGTAAAATACAAATGTGTGAAACACATTTGGATTGAGTGGATGGATTGAGTGTACCAATGAAAACTGTGGAATGGATTCAACATAATAGAGGGCCATAATCAAACATGTTCTGGAAACGCCAAGCGGAGGAGGTGTGTTTTTAGGTGGTTCTTAAAGACTGGCAGAGAAGGGGACAGCCTAACTGAGGGTGGCAACTGGTTCCAGAGTAACGGTGCTAGGACTGAGAAAGCCCGGTCCCCACGGGTACGACACCTAGACCGAGGGACAGCGAGCAGGCCTTGGTCAGAGGAGCGCAGAGCGCGTGATGGGGAGTGTCTGTTCAGGAGAGTGGCCAGATAGGGGGGACCACCACCCTGGAAGAAATGATAAACAAAGACGAGTATTTTGAATTGTGAGCGATAGCAAATCGGAAGCCAGTGCAGGGAGGCCAGAACTGGGCTAATGTGGTCCCGTTTCCTGGTCCCAGTCAGGAACCTGGCAGCGCTGTTCTGCACAACCTGTAGGCGACGCAGTGTTGACTGACACAACCCTGCATATAGAGAGTTGCAGTAATCAAGCCGAGAAATAACAAAGGCATGCAGTACCCGCTCTAGGTGGGCTCTCGACAGCATATGCTTGATTTTAGCAAGGCGTCTCAGGTGAAAGAAACTGGACCGGATCACAGAATTGATGTGAGCATCAAATTTAAGTCCAGCATCAAGTTTCACCCCCAAACTGGTAACAACTGGTTTTGAGTATGGAGAAAGAGGGCCAAGATCAGCATAACGATCCACATTCCTGCTGTTGGGGTGAAAAACAATGAGCTCTGTCTTTCCCTCATTCAGATGTAGATAGTTGGACATTAGCCAAGACTTCACCTCATTAACACAGGAGACAAAGGACTGAATAGAGTGACCTTTCTCCTGACACAATGGAGAGTAAATCTGGCAATCGTCAGCATACAGATGGAATGATAGGCCATGTTTACGAAAGATTGACCCCAGAGGTAGCAGATAAATGGCAAACAAAAGTGGACCAAGGATCGACCCCTGCGGGACCCCCCACCGGAGCCCCTCCCAAGAAGAAAAAACATCACCCAATTTAACACAGAATGTCCTGTTTTGGAGATACGATCTAAACCAGTCCAGAGCTGACCCTTTGATCCCAACCCATCGTTCCAAGCGATCGAGTAGAATCGCGTGGTCAACTGTGTCGAAGGCTGCTGTCAGATCTAATAACAGAAGCAGCACAGATGTTCCCTGATCTAGTGATAAATAGATGTCATTTAGGACCCTCAGTAGAGCTGACTCTGTGCTATGGCCAGACCTGAACCCTGATTGGAAAACCTCAAACAGATCAGAGTCAGCTAAATGTGAGACCAGCTGCTGATAAACGACTTTCTCAAGCAGTTTAGATGTAAAGGGCAGGGTAGAGATTGGCCTGTAATTTTCTATCACAGAGACATCAGCACCAGGTTTCTTCAGGGTCGGCCGAATAACTGCTGCTTTCAAAGCAGCTGGGACAACACCTGTGCTGAGGCTCCCATTGATAATCTGACCAAGTGATGGGCCAAGGCACGGAAAGGCAGCCTTCCAGAGACGAGGCGGCTGAACATCAAGTGGAGAGCCAGATGGCTTCTGCCTCGCAACAAGCTTACTCAGCTCAGAGTATGAAACAGTATTGAGGGAGCTCAGGGTGGGTGGTAATGGAGGAACTGGAACAGGGTCAACAGAGTTACCAGAAATGACTGCTCTAATGCCCGACACTTTATCAACAAAGAATTTGTGAAAAGCTTCAGAGTTTCCAGCAGCTGTAGGAGACATGGAGCTAGGCTCCTGATACACCAGAACAGAGTTTAGTGTTTTGAAGAGAATCTTAGGATTATTGGAGTTTGTCTCAATGATGTCTGCAAAGTAGGCCATTCTGGCAGCCCTCACTGCATCCTGATAAGCAACTAGAGATGCTCTGAACAACTCACGCGAGACCTGTAGGCCATCCTTTTTCCACTTTCTCTCAGAGGATCTACACGCCCGCCTACAAGCCTGTGTGACATCAGAGAGCCAAGGCTCCCTCCTAGGCCTAGACTTGCTAAGCTTGAGAGGGGCAACCACGTCCAGCACCTGATTACAAAGTAAATCAAAGTGTTGTGAATAGTGATCAACGTTAGATGGATCTGGGTTAAAGGTCTCTAACCTTACAGACATACAGTCCACAAACTTTGAAATAGTTTCTGCATCCAGGGCTCTGAACCTAGTAGCTGGAGCTTCACACACAGGGACAGGACATGGCAACGTAACATCACAGAGTATTGGAGAGTGGTCAGAGAACACAGGAGGCAAAGTCACAAGGTTCATGATGGGTAGACCATAAGAGATAACCAGGTCCAGGGTGTGACCCCTGGCATGAGTTGGGGATGATACCCATTGAGTTAGATTGAATGAATCTAGCAAATTAAAAAAAACCTTTAGCAAGCACATTGTCAGGACAGCAGATATGGATGTTAAAATCTCCAAAAAATAGGACATAATCATATTTTACGATGCAGTCTGCCACAAGATCACAGAAATCATTAAGGAAGTTAGAGTCAGTCTTTGGAGGGCGATAAATCAGCACGACAAGCAGGCGGGGGGAGATGCACAGCTCAAATAAGCACAGTTCAAAGGAAGAAAATGACATGGTGGGTGTAAGCTGTTTACAAGGAAAGCTGGATTTAAAAACAACAACCAGCCCTCCACCTCTGCCCCGTGATCTGGGGATATTAAAACACGAGCAGCCAGGTGGTATGAGCTCGAGTAGGGGACTTGTGTCGCCAAACGGGATCCAGGACTCACAGATGCAGAGAAAACCCAGGTCATGCTGAATAAAAAAGTCACGAAGAATAAAAGTTTTGTTCAGCACAGACCTGGCATTGACCAAACCAAACCGGTTCTGCAGCGGGGCTGCAGCACAGAGATCGCGCACGGACCCAGTCCCCTCTAACTCTGTGCCCGTAACCGAGCGCAGATTCTCCCAGCAAACCCCAGTCTGGCGTGATCTTCGAGCCGATCGGCCGTGGCGCGGTGCCGATACACCATCAGAGCCGGCCGAGTTCCCTGGGAAGGGCGCCGAGTAATCCAGGAGACATCTCGGAACCATCGGGTCAGAAGCTGGGCCGGATCGGGCCAGCCGCTTGTTCAGGGATCCAGGCCGACGTCTCACGCGCCGGCTACCTCTCTTTCCTCGTCTTCTCCGATGCTTCCTTCTCGAGCTGGGGCGGACAGAGGGCCGACACATCACGGCTTGGGTGGAGAGAGCACGCGGGCAGTTCAACCAGCAGCATCGTCCGTGAGGTTCATGGCTCACACAGCCCAGTTCCCAGCGCGCGCTGCCGGCTACATCAACGGAAGGACGAAGCCTCAGCAGCGCAGCTCGATCATATGTCAGCAGAGAATCCACACCATTCAAAAAAGGGATCAGCGACAAGAAAAGTGCATAAAAGCCAATAAAACGCCAATAAAAACCGATAAAATGCAAGGCATCAGTGCGTAAAGAGGACGAGCAGCTCGCAGCGTGACCGTGCGCAAGCGCCATCTTACTCCCTCAAAGTCAGATCAGTCATGATCCAACTCTCATAATCATAGGTGAGGGTTGGAACTCAGCTCAACTCCTTCTTCACCACAAGAGAAGAGGGCAAAGCTCTCATTAGTGCAGACAAAACCCCTGATGTCCTGCTCCATCTTTTAGATGAGTTTAGCTATTATCCTATTTAACTGTCATTGCTACGGTCACTTTAATAACAAATGAAGCACTTTTAAAAAATACTGGCTTGATCCAATCCTTAATCTAATTTCCTCACTTACTAATATTATCTTGACAGTTTAATCATCCCCACTTGTCCCTATTTCTGCCTCCTATACACACACACACACACACACACACACACGCGCGCGCCTTTTGTATCACGCTTCTCACATCATGTTATCAGTGCATAACATATCTCAGTGTACCTTCTCCTGTCCCCTACCCTTTCCCACTCCTTCACTCTGACATTCATTCTTATCTCTTGCTGTCCTCCTCTTCCTCTCCATCACTCTGTCACGCTCCACCTCTTCCCTTCCTCTGTCCCTCCCTCCATCTGCCTGGTCACCTCCTGAAAAATGAGAAAAATTATCTTGTCTTTCAGCTACACTTTTCTGTTCCATCCATCCACCCTGCTCTACCTTCCTGCTCCAGTATCATCTTTTTGTTTATGCTGTTGTCACCTTTGTCTACAGCTTTGCTCTTTTAATGCTGCAGCATATGAGACACTTTCACAGCACAGCAAAAAATGTACTAATGCCTTTGTGTGAGTGTGTGTGTGTGTGTGTGTGTGTGTGTGTGTGTGTGTGTGTGTGTGTGTGTGTGTGTGTGTGTGTGTGTGTGTGTGTGTGGTTGAGATAAACAAGAGTGAGTTGTTTTCTGGGACTACCGCATTCATGCTATACAGCTGACCTTTGTGTTGCAGGACACGCACAGACACGTTCTCTTTCTTTAATCTCCAGCTGATGATGGCAGTCTGCATGTTGTGAGTTAGTTGCCATAGCAACAGATGACTGTTGACATCAGACACCAGCGGGGTGTCTTTTGGGTTATGTTGTGTGTGTGTGTGTGTGTGTGTGTGTGTGTGTGTGTGTGTGTGTGTGTGTGTGTGTGTGTGTGTGTGTGTGTGTGTGTGTGTGTGTGTGTGTGTGTGTGTGTGTGTGTGAACTTAACTCTAGTAAACTGACTGCATATTTTTATGCAATCATGCAAATCTAAATGTAATCTAAAGATTATTTCTGAACCCTCCTCTTTCTCTGACATGTTGCACATTCTGTCACACGTTTGCATTTAAACCTTTCTGTTTCTTTTGTCATCTCATCTCTAATTTGTGCTCTGTAATCATGCATAATCTGTAGATTTGCACCATTAGTGTGTTTTTAGTTAACCCCCCCCCCCTTCTTTTATCAGGATGGGCTCATGCTGTCGGGGGAAGGAGAGAAATGCCGGCTGTTGAAGGAGGCTCTGCCGAGACTGGAAGGACTAAAAGCAGAGTCCAGAATCCTTTATCTTTAATATTCTCTGAGCCAGATAATTCCCTTCTGTTATCACAATATCAAAATGTCTTTTAGATTTTTACTTTCAATTATTGTTAGGACCAGTCATTTTCTTTGAAATCCTGGTTTGATATTTTTGCTCATTTGCTAACATCAAAATTGGTTCAAATACTGTGAGGGAGGGACTGGGTTGAGAATGCTTTCAGAAATATAAATGATTGTTTATTTTTATCACTTTACAAAATGCAATGTGAGTGAGTCCAAATATGCAGCCAAAGTCATTAAGAACTATCTTCAACATAAAGAATAACAGGAAGTCCTGGTAGTGATGGTCTGGCCCACACATATTCCAGATCTCAACGTCATAGAGTGTGTCTGGGATTATATGAATAGACAGAAGGATGTGAAGAAGCCTACATCCACAGAAGATCTGGGGTTAGTTCTCCAAGATGTCTGGAACAACCTACTCGCTAAGTTCATTTAACAGCAGAATAATCTTGTATTATAAAATTAATCATAGAATAATCTTGTACACCAAAAATTCATGATATCAAGTCTCAACCCATTGTTGCCATTTATATATTGATAATCACACCAGTGCTGAAATTCAGCAACAACGCACGACCTGTGAGTGTGATATTGTTTATATACAACAGTTCTACCTGCACATTTTATTTTTATAACAACAATAAGCAACAACAGATTATGATTTGTTCATTCATTTAATCATTTATCAGGCTTTGCCTACACAAATAGTCCCAACACGAAATGAAGACTCAGACAAGGCTGTTGCTAGGCAACACAAACATTTTCTACAATAACGGTTAGAACGCTTGTGCACATCGGAGTGATACTTTTTGTAAACAGTCCCAGTGTTGTTATAGTCCAATATCAGCTCTCTTGGACAGTCTCTTGACCAATCAAATCACTCGGTCGCAACTAACTGTTGTATAATTGAAGGCATAGCATAGTAACTTCATCAAGAATTGGCTGACTACACGACAGACGATGTAGATGTCATTTTGCACAGCTGCATCGTGTTCTTGTGACCTGTAGCTGCGGATTACTACAGTGCTTTGTCATGTCGGCTCCTGTAATTCTTTGTTTGTGTTAGTTATTATTTTCATTTTTAGTCAATATGATTATTGAGGTCACAAATAAAATTAGGATAAATATTGAGAAATTTTAATAACTCTTTAACATAAAATGCTAGCTGTTACCATTCACGTACATTGTTTATGCTAAGCTAACCCTGTCAGAATACTGCCAGATTAGGAGAATGAGTGTTACAAAATGCTTTTTCCTACTTATCTAACTCTGGAGAATATGGTGACACAAAATTTCACTTTGGGGTGGAATACCCCTTTTAAGACAGTGTTTATCAATTCTGGTGCTCTACATGTTTTCTATGTTGCCTTTTCAAACACCAGTGTTTCCCTGCTTCCACACACACCTGACTTAAATGAGTGGGTGATTAACAGGCATCTGCAGCACTTGATGTCTTCATGAGGAGCCAATGCAAATATTTAAATCAGGTGCACGTATGGAAAACATGCAGGACATGGGGTCCTGAGGACTGGAATTGAGAAACACTGATTTAAAAATAATTTTTTTTAGAAAATAGTACAAATAATGTTGCGTTCAAATCTGTGTTAATCCAGAGGGAAATTTTAAAAACAAGACAAATACTTAAAGGATTATAAGACTTGAGCCAACAGAAGCACATGCTCGTATCGTGGGATTGCCTCTGGATCGTCACCCTGATCATAAAACGCATGCATGAGTTAACATTACAGCAGCAAAGTAAATTAATTAAAATGCCAAAAGACAAATTTGCTGACTTGCTATAATCTTAGATCACATTAGAACGTGCAAATAAGCTACTAGAGGTATTACTTTTTCTACTTGGAGATAAGTTCAGACACTGGCTGCCAGTAGAGACTTAGGACATGATTAACTGAGCAATTAAGACTCTTAATTAAATGTGGGGCTGTGCTTTCATGTTCATAATTCTGGCTCTGAGCAGTTTTCATCATAACAGAAAAGAGAAGAAAAGACAGGCACTACTTAATTATGTCTTTACATAAAACAGTATTAATAACTTTATGCAAAGTGGTTCTCATACATACTTCAGGCTTTCCTCGGCAGTCTCCAGTGTCACTCTCCTTTTAAAAGCTTCTAGGATCAGTGTTGCTTTTCCTTAATTCTTCATCTAGATTGGGAGGAGATGTTGGAGGGTTGTAGTCATCTGTTGTCAGCTGTTAAGGGTGATGTCCCTGATGAGAACCTCTACATGCTGAGGATTACAGACATGGCTCTAGACGCGTCTGTTCACTTGGGACGCTGGGAGGAGGCTTTGAGATACGGCGTGAGGACTCTTCCAGCGTACAGGTAGGTAGTTTTTTTTATCTTAATCTCAGACAGGCGACTCTCACAGGATTCCCCCAAAAAAAGATATTAGATTAAATACACTTGAATCCCTGGATTTGTGGAAGTTTTTCAGGTTTTATTGGATTAATCGTTAAAAAATACATCATTCACCCTTGTAAATACTTGGATGTTTTGATCATATAAGTTAATTTCTTATCTGTGCAGTTGCATGCTTCACTAACCATTTGTAGATTAATTGAAATGTAAATCTGCAGCAGCACAAAGAAGCAATCGCCCAAATGATGGACGGTTTCACGATTACTCAAGGACGGCTGATGTTTGACGAGTCAGTATTGTGCTTATTTACAACACCTCCTGTCACACTTTGTTTTCAGTCTTTGTGTTTAATTACACAAAAAAATCAATCCTGAATTTTTCATGTAAAAAAAATAAAAAGTATCATTGCTGAAAACTTGAGTCACCAAATATGTCAATTAGGCTTCAGAATCAATCAGAGATTATTTATTTTGGTCTGTGTTGTTGGTATTCTGTCTACTGAGGAAACACGTTTTCTTCTGGTGATCTTCTCTTCTGATTATTTAGTGACCGGCCAAAAATAATTTTCATAAGTGAAAATGAAATGTTCATTATTCTGCGTGGATTTTGTTTTATTCCCTATTATTCCCAGAGAGGAGTCGGTAAAACACGAGGAAAAAATATAGTCAAGTTCTATGAAATGTTTAAATATTTATTTAATTCTTCTGTAAATTATGTGATTGGCACTGCAAATCATTCCAATAGCCTTCAGTTAAAATTAAATAATATAGCACCTTCTAGAGTCCTTGAACCCCCCAAGGTGCTTTACAACACAGTCATTCACCCATTCACACACACATTCACACCCTGGTGGGGATGAGCTACTATGTTGCCACAGCTGCCCTGGGTCGCACTGACAGAGGCGAGCCGTACACAGGCGCCATCGGTTCCTTCGACCACTGCCAACACACACACACACACACACACACACACACACACACACACACACACACACACACACACACACACACACACACACACACACACACACACACACACACCCGTAGCAACAGCCACAGGAGAGAAACAACAATATGTCCTATAAATAAATAAGCAGACTCAGAGCAGCAGAATGAAAGATGGTGATAAGAAACGAGGATGGAGAGATTGGAGCAGCTGCAAAATATTATAGAATATAGTGAAAAACAAGAATAAAAGGAATGAAGTTTAATGTTTTTCATCTACATCAAAACTATCATTTTAAAATGATCAAATTAAAAATAAGACTTTGAACCACTTTTGTGGTAGGTTTAATTTGAAAAGACAACAATCTTGTATTTCTCACTAGTTTTGACAACGTTTAATTGTAGTCATTATTTGGGGATACATTTAGAGATTAGGTTCAGGGCTTTTAAGAAATGCTGTAATGTCTGCACAATCAACGTTTATAAGTATTATATTTATTGTATACCAGGTAATGTTATTGTTGGGTGTGCATTACTTCTGTCAAGAGCTCAAGAGGGAAGTCTGAGCTCATCCTACCTTAAATTGTTTCAGTGGATTTGCACAGAACAGCCAGCAAGAAGAACTCTTAATTAATGTTAGCAGGAGGTAATAAGAGAATTCACCACTCAGAGCACGGTGTGTTGTGACAGCTGGCTTCAATCTCAAGGTTATTCCAAAAAAAATAAAATAATAAAGTTTTTCCCCTGTGTGCCAGGCAAAAAAAATAAAAATAAAAAAATAAAACCACACACACATATATATATATATATATATATATATATATATATATATATATATATATATATATATATATATATATATATATATATATATATATATATATATACACACACACATGTGTATATATAAAAATACATACAGAATAAATATGTATGTTTTGATACAGCAGAAACGTCTAAACTATTGTTTGAATCTTTTTCATACTTTTACATAGTTGCAAGTTTTTAAAATCATTGTGGTGCTAATTTTGTACCAATTACAAGAAAAAGATTTGAACTTTGACACACTACAAGAAAGTTTTAAAAGATATTATCTTCCTCCAAGGGTGAAACTTGAAAGATTAATAACTAAAAGAAGCGAAGATTTACATTTTTAAAAATTCTTTTGAATGTAATCTTAAGCTTTTTACATGAATGGTTTAGTGAAATCAATGATATAAACAGTAGAAATTTTATGCACTGCAAAAATCTACTGGAACATAAATGTGCAGGTTTGATGTAGATTCTGCCAAACAGGAAGAAGGGGAATGGTTGACTTAAAATAATTTAAATTATTATTAATAATCACAAGAATGAGAGAAAGCTGTTAATAATGTGCTAACATGTTGTAATTAAATAGAATGAGAGAAAACAATTCTGGTAAAATACGGTGAGAGTGGGTGGAGGATCCTCCATATTCATCTGCTGCCGAAGACAACCATGTCTCTCCTTTCCCCTCATTCAGTATTCCTTTCTTCTTTCTTTCCCTCTTCAGGTTCTTCCTTGGTTCTCCAGTTTGTGATGCATGGAAAAGTTATTCATTGCAAACATTGCAGAACTGCTGCAGGCTGTGCAAGCCAGGCTCAATGAGAGTCTCTGGGCTGCACATATTTCACTGTTATAGATATGTTCACACACACATCTATGAATATGTGAAGCCATGCTCATATTTATACACATATTGGTAAGAAGGAGCAGATGTAGGAGTGTGGAATGCACCCATAAAGCTCTGCAAAGCTTCTATGAATAAATATTATACCTTTTTGTTTTTGTGTCCTGTGTTATGCACACGCTTTGACCTTCTGGCCTGAAATTTTCAGGCAGCACTTAAAATGTGAAAAGGCAAAAATGTCGTAACATCACCCACTTTTTGTTAGGTTTCTCTGAATAACTGAGCAAATATTACCTCTCTGGATGTACTGCTGTGCGTTAACATTCAACAGAATTATGGAAATGAATCTGTTGCATGTGATTTCTGCATCAGTGAAAGCTCAGTGGACCATGCATCCACACTGTCAGTTTTTGTGAACCTGTCTGTGCAGTGATATGAAATACAAAGTCTTTTAAGGCCAGCGGCCTTATTACACCTTTCCTCCATGTTCTGTTGGGACAAAAATGTTACATGCAAATTGCAGATTGAAGCAAAGAAAACTGAAGTTTGTAAAGAACCCTTCACATTGGATTTGGACCCTGCTACCAACTCCACCACCTTAGAACATGGCCAGGTCACAGCAAATCAGGACAACCTTTATCAATGTAGGATGCGGCTTTTAAAAAAGATTATCATGATACTGATGGAACATTGAGGTCTTAGCATTGGCAAAAGGCCAGGATGGCCAGCTCTGCTTCATATTCTTAACAACGACACATATTTGTGTTGTTTTAAGCACTTCAGTAGGAAAAGTGGCTTTTGGTTGTTCTAGAAGTTGCTAAATAACATTGTTAACGAATTTGCATCATGTGGGAAAGACAATAAGTGAGTAAAAGACACTCTAGGTTCACTGAGAAATGTAGAATTATTTGTATTTTTTAAACGATTGGAAGTCTCTCAAAACACAAGAAAAAGTTGCTTCATTTGATGCTAATCATTCATTTTTAACACGTCCCTAACGAGGTCTGAAAACGTTGTCCCATTGCATGCAGCCCCCCACATCATGGATATGCTGCCATCACACAGGCAGTAATTGCTACTTAGGGCTTTTATTGTCCACAAACCAAGAAAAGTAAAAAGCTATTGTTGCATAGAATTCTATTTTCTAATTATGCTTTTTCCAATTAATGTATATTTTGCCTTCATGCAAAAAAGGAATAAAAGAAACAAGATTTGGATTATTTTTTTTTACTCCAGACAAGTATCTCATTAGTTCTACCACATTTGCCTGAATATTTTACACTTTTCCATAGCCATTCATTTCTCTTTCCATCTTCTCTTCCTTGTAGCCAGAAGCTACGACTTTCCAACCGTCTGCTTAGCACAGTCAGACCATATTTCTCTTCCGTTTACTCTCTTGGGAAAATAAATTAAAGGAAAAATCTGGATAAATCGAGCTAATGAAATTCTTTTAATTGCTTTTTGCTTCTATGAGGAAAGAAGAATCGTAATTGGAATGTGGACTTGAGGTGCATGTTCACATGTTGCTTTAATTAGTGACGTGATAATTAAATCAGCATTGCAACATGTTATTATTCATGGAGGACTAATACTGTTGGTTTAGTGTCAGAACTCTCTTTATATGAATTCCATTTTAACCACAGAACTGGAGGCCACCCCTGTAATTGGTGTGCTTCTCCATTTCTGGTTTAGTTAGGCTTGACTGTTTGAATATTTTGCTGCTGAAATATCAGAGAAGTTGCAGAAATTGGCAAAATGACCCCGGGTGAGGTCTCTTACAAGTTAATTAATTAGCTTTTACAAAACAAATATCTTTTTTGAGTCGAACTTTTAACTAGATAAAGTTATTGTTTTCTGTTTATATATGTAATAAAATCAATTTTCCATTATTATTAAATTATTGTTAGCATAAACTGAGCATGTTAAGTGCTTTTGTTTACTCTGGAGAGTACCAATACTTGGCAAATAAACCAGGTTAAACAGGGTGAAGTGGATTCAGCTTGACCTTATTTTTGTATGCATGCTCATGCATAAATGCCGGTGTGCACGTGGGCAATGTGTGTGTGGGTTTCTCACAAAAACAGATCATCGAAATGGAGTGGGTTTGAAAATGGAATTAAAGAGTTCCTCACCACAACATGCTTGGGTGCCCTTTTACTGCAGTCCTTGGAATAATACATCTGTAGTAAAGAAGAAACTGAAGGCAGAACAAAATTATAGATGGAAGATTGAGATTTACAGCAGAGATAAACTCAGACCTGTAGAGAACGAAGAGACTCGGCTTAACAATGTGACCATCTTTGATCCCTGTTCATTTGAATCAGGCAGTTTCTACATCCAGAGAGATGACAGAAAGACCCCCAATTAATCAGAGGCAAATGGTTTAGGCTTATAAAAACAATAAAAATGATGTCACTGTTCCTGTTTCTGTTGTAAATATAGCCGGTACTACCCTGATCCACATCCTGTTCATGGAGTTCAGCTGATGAGAGTTGGAAAGCTGCAGCATCACCTTGAATGCATGGAGGATGCCTTGGACACGTTTAAACAGGTATGATGAGACAGCTCTTACCTTTGTTCTTCTCATTCTTATCATCATTGTTACTATTTATCCTACAGGCTTTTACAATCATGAAGCTCACTCACGGTGAAGATCACCCCATGACTACTGACCTACGAATGAAGATGGAGGAATGTCGCAGTGAGCTTGACTACAAGTCATCCAGCAAACACTGAGACAAATAATGAACAGACAATAAAATCAAACGTGTGGGAAAAAAAGATAATTAATCAAACTCTGGGTTACTTATTTGGTTTAAGAATTGTTGCAACGTGGATAGGCGGGGTGGACTGGCCGTCTGGCATACCGGACATGTCCCAGTGGGCTGTTTACCCAATGTGGACCGGTTTGGTCAAGCAAACCCCACCCACACCCACACCCCAGTGACGGACGACTCCTTACTGTTTTCATGTTGCAATAATTCAAAAAATAAACAGAGATGAAGTAAAGCAAGTACTTTGTTTTATTTTTAACATTTTTAGGTGGTTTATTTTATAATTATGCACCCAAAATCTCATAAATTGACCCAATCACAGATGCTTTGACTGCAAACATGGCAGAACTTCTTTGGCTGCTAAAACAAAGTTATAGTACTGATGAGTAAATCCTTTTAATGGTCATGAGTAGGAAAAGGGTGGAATGCCTTCTCCTGGTCAGGGATGAGGTCCTGCCCCAAGTGGAGGAAGTTAAGTAACTCAAGGTCTTGTCCACGAGTGAGGGAAAACTGGAGCGTGAGATCGATAAGCGGATTGGTGCTGCGTCTGCAGTGATGCGGGCATTGTACCGATCTGTCGTGGTGAAGAGAGAGCTGAGCCAGAAGGCGAAGCTCTAAATTTACCAGTCGATCTACGTTCCTACCCTCACCTGTGGTCACAAGCTTTGGGTAGTGACCGAAGGAACGAGATCGCGGATACAAGCGGCAGAAATGAGTTTTCTCCGCAGAGTGGCTGGGCTCTCCCTTAGAGATAGGATGAGAAGCTTTGTTTACTCGGGGAGGGGCTCAGAGTAAACCTTCTGCTCCTCCACATTGAGAGGAACCAGTTGAGGTGGCTCGGGCATCTAGTTAGAATGTGTCCTGGACACCTCCCTGGTGAGGTTTTCTGGGCACATCCTGCAGGGAGGAGACCTAAAGGTAGACCTAGGACACGCTAGAGGGACTATGTCTCACTGCTGACCAGGGAACGCCTTGGGATACTCCCGGATGAGCTGGCCCAGGTGGCTGGGGAGAGGGAAGTCTGGGTCTCCCTGCTTAGGCTGCTGCCCCTGCGACCTGACCCTGGATAAGCGGCCGAAAATGGATGGATGGTGATGCAAAAGGTGTCCAACATCCAAAAAGGTGAACCCCCAACAGGAAAGCATTACCGTTGAAATTTTTCATTTATCAATAGAACAAATTTCAGCTGTTTTCTACAGAGTGTGAAGTTCTAGAACATAAAGGCAGGGTTATAATTAATCATGACCAGGGATGTCGTGTCACTAGTGTCTATTAGACGACGCTGCACAGAACAATTCAAATGTTTAGAGAGCTATATGGTTATATGGTTATGGTTATATTTGCATTAAATTTAAATGAAATGTGAAAGAAAGGATTAATAGTGTCCCAGTAAAGGAAGTGTCCATTTGTTTTTAGTGATAAGGCTCACCAGGAAAAGATCAGCAAACACATCGACCGCAGCTTTGTTTTGTTTACATATTTTCTGGTTTTCCTCTCAGAACTTTCCAGAGGCTCCAGGATCGTCATACCCCTCTCACGGCAGAGTTCCTGAGATATATCAGATGAAGTTTTTCACTAAAACGTAAAAGCAAAACACGATATTGTGAGTGCTAAGTAAGTGTTGTTGACAGCTTGTTTTGACAGACTGACATTGTGGTTGTGGTATTTCTGCAGCCTGGGTTTGATGTGCAGTCTGCTTGTCCCTCGTTCTGTCATATGACAGGGGGGTCCACGGTGTGAACCCCCCCCCCCCCCCCCCCAATCTCCTGAGTGATCTGTGGATTCACTCATGATGAGAGATCTCAGGTGCCAGGGCTTTATGTGAGTGTGTGCATGAATGTGTTTGTTCTGGTTCAGTAATACATCCATTGTCCTCTGAGTGTGAGTGTGTACGTCACATACACTTCCCTTGTTAATCCCTGCTTTTGGTGTACCTCTGTTAGTGTGAGGCTGGAGTTTGTCTCCGATAAAATGTGTCTCACACACGTTCCGACACATCCCACGTTAATCCCTGAATGTGTCCATTTGCAAACTGATGACAGCATCTCCTGTATGAGAGAGGACCCTAACCTTGTATGTGTGTGTGTGTCACACAAATTTTAGAATGTGTCTCATGTTTCCAGAACAATTTTTGTTCAATATAAAATATATTTTACAGAGTATTTAGTTTGATTAATGGAAATTGAAGACTTAAGTCTGAAAAGTTTGTTTTTGGAATCTTTTGTCTTTTTTACTTGTTTTTAGTTCTTAGAACATTATGTTCAGGTTTTAGGAAGGTGACCTAGCTTAATGAGCTTAGCTCAGTTCACTGAGCAGTAACACTGTTTTCTGATGCAACATTTTCACTCCTAAATGTGTCCTTTTCAACTTTTTTTCTGAATATTTTTAGTATCTTTTAGGCATGTGTTTAAATCACGTCAGATTCAAGTTTAGGCTAAAATCAGTAGGTTGATTATCCTAAATAAGACACTACCTGTTTTAGATTTGTGTGACTTACTCTTGGGTTAGGGTTCTTCAAGCTACTTCACAAGTCATCTGTCTTTTGCAGTTTACCCTAATAACAAACACCTTTTGTTTCACCGCCTTTCTGCAATCCCCCTTAATACTCTCCATTGTTCTTCAGCTTCACCACATCACTTTCATGTCTTTGTCCTCCTGTCCTCTGTTTACATATCTCACATATTTATAGTCCAGTCTGTGATGCTAAAATATCCAAAATGGTCATTACTTTTAAAAACAGTTAAAGCTTCAAATCAAATCAAATCAAAAAAAATTTTCGCATCATCACGTCAGTCATTAATTCATCTTACAACAATATTCACAGTCACCTTCCGTGTGAAAACGGGGGATGGAAGTAGAAAAGTTAAAGCTTTAAAGGAGTATGCCTGTTTTTTGTTGTTGGTTTTTTACACTTTTTTTGCACAATTAATGTAACAAACTGGGTACAGCCTGAAAAGCACTTTTGACATAAAACAAAACAAAAATAAGCTTCAATCCTCTTCGTTTCATTTCCTATCAGGTTTTCCTAACAGCAGATTCTGAACCAAAATACAATTTGGATTTTTCATCTCAACAATAATTTCTTTATCAGTAAGTAAAATAAAACCTTCCAGGACGCCTCGGCTCTAATTAGTGGTTGGTTCTCGTAGAATTTGCCTGAGGTTAACATAAATCAGACAGGAGACCCGAAGAGTGATGACTGCATATTATTTGTTAAAACGGCTTAAAGGGATTTTCTGGTTCCACATTTTCAAATAAAATTTCTAACCTTAAATTTCTTTCAACTTTAATCATCTTATTTCTTTAGTACTTGCTCTACTGTTTCCCTTCTCAGCTCTTATGAAATCCAATCATTTGCTGCAGGAGTTTTCTTACATTTAGGGACCTGTGTTCTTATTTGTGTCATTCCCTCTTCCTCCTCCTGTTTCCCGTCGAGCATCGTTGATTAAAAGCTCAACAGGACACTACATTACAAACAAATCTACCTAGAGGCTAGTAAAGGTCCACAAACAAGACCACTTTCTAAGCAGAATCTAGCTTTTTGTTTTTATTTCAAGACATTTTTTCTTATTTCTGATCCATTTGAATTGTTTTGGTAAATGCGATAAACTACCACCATCAAGCTACTTCACTTCATTAAAAAAAACAGAACCTATGTTAATCTCAAACAGCACATGATGTCTGTACGTTTTTCTATTTGTAAAATGTTTCTGCTGCTTAAATAGCGTATGGCTTTGGGGAGGGGGTTTCATAAGACTTTTTGGTCTTCTTAACCTCTCCTGCACAGTTGTTCTTTACACTGTGCTTTATTGATGATGTTTTATGTGCAAATAAACAAAATAAAAATGATTTAACCAGAACAGAAACAGATGACAGCAGATGTCTGGCCAACACGTTTTCTGCTCTGTGCAAAAATAAACAAGTGTGATTTTAAACTCTTTCAATACATTCCTTTATTTACATCCCTCCATCTTTATTTTCCATCAACACATTATGCCAGACCATATTTCACAAAAACAGAAGATCTTCTTTACAGTTTTAAATTATTTTTGTTTTAAAAGTCAAGTAAACATAAAACGTTGCATCGTGTTTTCTCATGTGAGAATTATTGACTGGCTGTAATATAGGAATTTATCAAAATTTAAAACTTTTCTCTGATTAACCAAAAACAAAAAGAGTTATAAATTAGCTTCAAAGAAGCAAAGTTTGATTTTATACTAATCAGGGTGTCTGTTTTGGATGAATGTGGTCTCACCTCGACAGAACCACACAGTCCCCCTTAAAAACCTAAAGATGCTATGTGTCAGGTTTTCAGATAACACACGATAATTCTTAGATGCCTCTGCAAAACAGCACATTCTTCACTTTATAATTTGGGATCAGAGATTATTTTTGGTGAGCACCTTGTTTTAAGACACACCAGTCTGCTCTAAATAAGAACACTGAACCCTCAGTTATTGCTTGAATTATAAAGTGTTATCTCAGTAAATTTGGCAGTGTTAAATTAAAGAAAGATCCTTCCACATAGCATCTTAATGCTTGAATCATGTCAGTTTCCCCAGATAAAAGGCATTTAATTTTTTTTTTTTTTTGACTTCTGGTCAGTTTTTTTTTATATTTCTCTGGTGGACTCAGGTTCACATGTATTTAAACAAATTTATTTAAGGAGTCATATTAAAGATGAGATGAAAATGTAAACTTCCAGCATTAATTCAAGAAAATATTCATGCACCTTTATATAAAGAAATGACATTTTTTTCGTCCAGTTTCTAATACTGCCTTTTACTGTGTAACCATCCTGTGCCACAGTATAAAATGTGCTTTGGTAGGCCTGTAATTCCCCATAAAGCCTTTTTACTTACTTTCATGAAAGCATCAATGTTATTCCTTAAAGGTGCATGATGTTAGACTGAAGAGAGATATCCAGTGGTCAAGTTTGGGTTAGGGTTAGTTTAGCCCATTCTCTAAATAAACAAGTGACTTTTTCACTCCCGTTCCGTGAGCTTCATGGCTGTTGCCATTTACAACTCAGCGCCAGAAGATTTTAGACGACGAGCGAAGATGAGTCGTACACAGTAAGTTAATGAGTAAATCTATTCTTTCTTTGTTTCTAATTTACTGTTAGCATTGTTAGCTCAAAGTTGTTCTCTAGCATTCTTTGAAATGGTAAATGGCCTGTATTTGATATAGCGCCTTCTAGAGTCCTGGAACCCCCCAAGGCGCTTTACAACACAATCAGTCATTCACCCATTCACACACACATTCACACACTGGTGGGGATGAGCTACAATGTAGCCACAGCTGCCCTGGGGCGCACTGACAGAGGCGAGGCTGCCGAGCACAGGCGCCACCGGTCCCTCCGACCACCACCAGCAGGCAATGTGGGTTAAGTGTCTTGCCCAAGGACACAACGACAGCGACAGACTGAGCGGGTCTCGAACCTGCGACCTTCCGATTGCGAGGCGAGCACTTAACTCCTGTGCCACCGTCGCCCCTACACGATATTCTTTACATGATATTAGAGTAAAACAAAAGATACATCTGGACTGCTCCTTCTCTGGACTACTGGTTAACATACCGGCCACAGCTCGGGAACTTTTTGCTGGCTTGTGTCGATGCAGACTCGGCAACTCTGCAGACCCACAGATTGTAAACTGTAGCTACGTCCCTCTTTGACTTTTTTAAGAACAGGAAAACTAAAATAACCCCCCAACCTGCTGAGAATGAAATCTGTTTCAATGTAACCTTTCTACCAACATAATTGAGACATTGTTTTGTGATTATTTAACTGTGAAATTCTTACTTATTGTGCCTGTAAATCACGTATTTCTAAATATCTTGAGTTAGAGCTGAAAGTCTTATCATTTCTTTCCTGATTAATTTGGTTTGAATCCAATACAGCAGCATTGCTTTTTAAAAATACTGTTTACATAGAGAACCTGAATGTGAGCCAACCAGAGGGTGAACAGGATCAGCAGGTGCAAACTATTCAACACAATGACATATATACAACATAAAAATGAGTGCATACACATGGTATCATAGACTTAAATATGACAAGGGCTCAGAAACATATGTACAGTTATTGTTCATGAATGCATAGTAACTTCTCAGGATCAAAGGTTGAACATAAATAAGAAACATGACAACGTTGCTCTGCTGAGCTGAAAATAAATAAACTTTCACTCGACTTGCATGTTGAGGAGTATTTACATGGCTGTTAGGAAAACACTTTCAAGTCCAGTTAATACAAATCACCTCTGCTCTGGGGTAATTTCCCCACTAGTTTACATTAATGTAATATTTTCTGCACACAAAACAACTTTCATTTGAGATTTGAAACAGCCACGCTTGGATAGAAATCACAGAGTAGTTTTAGACCTCAGAGAGGATTTGTTGTCTGCTCGCAGGGCAAAGCTATTGGAGAGTTTGATTACAGCATGGGTAACCATGGTGATGGCCTCTGATGTAAAAAGAAGCACATGAAGGGTCTTCCGTACTTTAGAGGGAAACAGGCTCTTTTGTATACTTATATTTGTACAAACATTTAGATCATAAACATCTCAAGCACCATAGATTGTAATATGAACAAATATTTGTATTCATCCAGACTTAATGGAACCAGGCAGAGATCTATGATTACTTTCTAAGCTTATTTCTTCCTATATCAATTTTAATAGCTGTTATTTCATTCTTATATGCATGATTAATATTTCTTTACAATCCCAGGATGCAATCCTCAAACAATTCAAACACCTGAAAACTAATCCTGGTTTTATTTACTCTTTTAAAACAGGATTAAAACTGAATATCAGTGTGTTGATTTCAAAAGTTTTTTTTTTTTACATTTTCATAAATAATCTCCACATGGTCCCATTCTACCCAAGTAAAAAAAAAACTGGAAACTATTATAAAACACACATTTTGACAAATCATTCATTTTCTTTTAGGATAAAGCAGAACCACATAGATACAAATAGAGGACAGTCTGTCCGTCCGTTAACCGATGCTCAGGGTCAGAGAGGGATCTTTTCACTTCCACTCTTTTGAGACATTTAATTTCCTTTAGCTGCGTTTCTACTATAGAAATTCTGGGAAATTTCTCAGAGGGGTGATGGTAACATGGAAAATACGCTGGCCTGGCCCTCTCAGCCATTGTCTCCATACAAAATCGTCCCTTTCAGGACTTAGCTAAGACGTCAGCATATCGTGATAATTTCAGCAGTGAGTGACATCACTGATCAGCGCCATCAGGCATCCTTGGACTTTCTTAACATTAAAGATGTTTTGTTCTATCGAAAAACTTTATAATTTAATGCTTTCTAGGGATTGGGAGAGCATCTGATATTAAAAGCGGTGATCTGCAGTTGTGTTAATTTCAGCGTTCGGGCGACTTCCACTGCATATTTTGGTGTTGGAGATCTAGAAACTGCAGTTTTAAAGCAGTCTCAATGCGGCCTATTTTCTTTTTCTTCCATTCTGCTTAACCAGCATCTCGTCCAACTGTTTGGCGTCTTCTGCCAATGTCTTTTCCCAATGAGTTATAACCAATCAGCATGAGTTAACCACAAGTCTTGCCCAGCGACTCTACCGGGGCATTTCTGAGTACAAACCCCAGTTCAGGTACTCGGTTGGTCCCTGAAATGGCCCAGAAAATGGTCCTTTTGGGTCGGCTCGGTGAATTGTAGAAAAGCGCATGCCGAAAAGGTCTGGTATAATTACAAAGAAGTTTCGATGGTGGACACGAGCCTTTTGTGAACATTGCATCTGTATTGAGGGAATAAAATACAGATGGTTATAACTCAGATGGGCTTCGTTTGTGAGGTCCAAGCATACATAAATTCTTTCACCGAATTTTTATCGTTACATTTTATAATTTTAGCTCTTTGATGTTGATTTTTTTGTACTGCAGGTCTCTTAACCCTCCCACTGTCCTAATGGGTGTGACCCCGTGAGGAAAGTTGACCATTGAGCAGGGTTGATGGTTTATCCCTTGGGTCCATGTGGCAGCGGTGAGGAGTGAGCACCACCTCACCCCTGCCACGTGAACCTCAAGGGATAAACTATCAATCCTGCTCAATGGTCAACTTTCCTCGCACACTCACCCATAAAGACAGTGGGAGGGTTAAATATTCTGTTTCAGTTTATTCATTTTTTTAATCTTTCATGACATCACCACACACTGAAACAGTCGATTTGATTATATTTCCCTCATCATGTTTAAACACCGACCCACAGATGAATCATCACATTAGGAAATGACGCAATTGAAAAATGAAAATTCAAGGACACTGACTTTTATGGAGTTTTGTTCTATGCTAGCACCAAACATGTACATAAAAAACCAGAGAGAAAGAGGACTGGTGTTGGTTTTATTAGGAATGTTCACAAGGCACTTATCTGTCAGTCTTGGTGAGTCTTTGCACGAGAATACGGCGTCTACGTTCAGTGGTGAGCACATTTACAGTCAAAACACCGGAAAAGGTTTTTCCATCGGTTTTTCAAACAACATTGTTTCTTTCTACATTCTTAATTGTTCCAATCAGTCTTTGAGGCATCTTTGTTTCTTTCTGTATTTCTTTTCACAATCGCACCTTCTTCATCTTTCCACCACTTCACGCCATTTTTACTCAACTGAATGGCTCATAAGATATTTTTTATTGTCTAAAGATGATCTGTCTCGGTGCATGTATCTTATTTCTGTGCATCTTTGTTTTATTTATTCATTCATCCGTCCTTTAGTCTACTTACATGTCAAGAATCATAATCCAGGGTTTTCTCCGTGCCGTTAATCACCCAGTTTGCTGGTCAAGTACTTGTCGTTAGAGATATTATCTTTTCAGCATGTTTGATCCATCAGAGAATAGGGTTTAAATAGCTCTTCCTCCTCCATCTTCTGATCTGTCTACCGATGTCTTGAGGAGACATCAAAGCAGGTAATCATCATGAGATGAGCTTTGCAGAAGTTGACTCTGGTCTCAAGTTTGTCCGTCACTGTTTCCAAAGCTTCCAGGTACTCCACTGAGTCCACATCATAGGGCTGCTGCAGCTCAACTGGATGCAGATGAACAGGCAGAGAAAAATGTTTAAATGGAGCTTCATGCTTGTGCAGAAGCAGAAAAAAGATTTTTGACTAAACCTCACATAAATGTGCATCATAAAGTAAACATTTGCTCCTATCTCTAATCAGCTGCAGACTCCTTATCATTAGACACACACGTCCTGATGTGCAACACTTACACTCAGTGGTCCATTTGTGTGGCTCCAGCATCAGGTGCTGTTTGGTTTGCTCCAGCTCCTTCTTTAGACACTGGTACTTGGCTCTGACTTCACTGATCCGCTGCTGGCGGTGCTCCAACAGGCGAAGCTTGGCACTGACGTACACCACCTCCTGTCAGATACACACAGCGGACGTGAGCCAGCACACAGAAAGGATTTTATTTACCTTTACGTTTCTAGACAGTGTGTGAGCCACACGTGGCTGTCGTTCAGCAGCAGCATGCTTAACATTCACACGGTTACAAACATTCACCCCTCATCGATTCACGGCGGGATCGCTGTCGGGTGTTTGGGACACAGAGCTGCTTCACTGGAGCAGTTGGGGGTTAAGTGGCTTTCTTCAGGCCGCTGCAGGAAAAATCTATAACTCCAGCTTTGTTCTCCCTCTGCGTTTCCAAAGCTCACACAAAGCCTTTGCTCTTATACACACAGACGTTTAACAATGGAAACCCAGAAAACCTCCACCGTGCATTCATTTGCAATCATTTTATAAATGTAGTCTGTTTTACAAAGACTAATCTTTAAATTAAATCCATGAAAGCGAGACGAGCGAGTGTTTATTGTTCATGCAGATTGTGTTGCAAATGTTTATTTATTGAATCTGTAAAATAAAAAGGTACAATTCTTCATTAAATCAATTTGATTGGCATTCAGTCTAATGGGTATCCTGCTCTTCTGCACTGAACTCTCTGTTGATGCATTTATCTAAATACTCGAGGCTACCACAGGTAAACCAGATTTCAGCAGACCAACATTCACTGTGTTTTCTCCTATTTACCACCCATTCTCTCTCTCTTACCTTGCCTCCTTTGCCCCTCCTCTTCTGTAGTCGCTCCACGTCATCTATCTCATACACTTTGATCTCAAAAGTTTCCATTGTGGCAGCGCCCCGATGGTTGGAGGCCGCTGGAGGTCCCAGCGGGCCATCTACCCAGCATGCACCTGGACTGGAGGAGGATGAAGAAGAGGAAGTGATGGCCTGTTTGGAGGAGCGCTGAGAAGGTGAAGTAGAAGATGAGTCCAAGGTCAGAGCTGGGATGAGACGTCGGCGCTGGAGGCCTGAAAAAGTGTTTCGGAGCAGATAAAGAAAATCTTGCTGAAACAAATATTCATGAATTGTTTTATTTTTAAATGCAGCCTTTTGACCAGTACTCAATATGCATTTATCCAAAATGGTGTTTTAACGGTTATTTAAAATTATTATTTTTTTATGTAAAAAGCCAGAAAAAGTTGTAATTCCACTTTTAACCAGTCGGACAGACAAGCTGGAAACTGTTTAGTGTTACGTTAAGAAATCACTTCAAAAAATTTCCTCCTTCCACATCAAGCATGCTAAAAGATCTCAGAAAGCATCACACTACATATGTCTTTTTCAAAAGAAATTCAAGGAAGAAAAAAGACAGAACAACATCTAAACAACTGCAGGCCTCACTTGGTTAAGGTCAGAGGTCCTGATTACATAATGAGAAACAAAAATGGACTGGAAGAATTCTAATACACACACACACACACACACACACAGAGAGAGAGAGAGAGAGAGAGAGAGAGAGAGATCAGGAACACTTCCTATAGAAATTGCCAGCCATGTTGACCAGAATGAGAGTTGTCAGAAAAACAGCGATAATGTGAGAAAAAAGGGAAAGTGGTGATTTAATAAGGTTGGAGCTGTCTTTTGGTCTCAGCAGCAAAGAAAGGTCAAGCAGAGACATTCGTATTTTATCAGGACACAGCGGGCAGAGGAAGACTGAGGGTCTGTGGGGTGGAGATGAAGTCTGAGAAATAGATGAAGCAAAAAAAAAAAAAACAATCCAATCATGTGAGTCACATTAAATGGAAATGGAAATCAGGCACAAAGAGAGGCTCAGCTGGTGATGTAATTAACATCATGGTAGGACATTGGTTTTTATCTGTGTACAGTATCTTCAATCTTCTTTAATCAAACCAAACTCTTTCATGGTCGTTTGTGTCATATTGTGAGAATCCTAAAGCCTGTTAGTGCTTGGGCAAAAAAAAAATTTAAAAGTAAGACCAGACTTTATGCTAAATAGCTGGAATGTGAGATTGTATATTTTTAGATTGAAATCGATAATCAGACTCAGCAGGCAGAGCTGCCGCCTTCCAATCTGAGTTTATACACATCTGCATATCCGTGCTTAACCAGCAGAAAGCAATTTGGCAGCTACATTAGCAAGTTCTTTGTGTGGTATTCTGGTGAATATATATATTCATTACAGTCTGCAGCAGCACATTCACTTCTACCATTTCACAGATGGATGATCAGGGTCACCTTTCTGCCATTATATCATCCAGCCACACTTTTCACCAGTGGATCCAACTCACCGAGCGTCATCGTTTCTACCATCAGAGGTTTTCAGATGATCTTTGCTAAAACTGAAAATCAAACGGATACTGAAGATAAATCAATAAAAAAACAATTGAGTTCTGATTACTGACTCCTTGTTTTATATTTTCATGAAGTCTCTACTGCAAGTAATATAAGCAGCCACTTTAAATAAAAAGCTGCTCACCTGGGTTTTTCTTGTGTTTGTGTGCTTGCTTTTGCAGGATGACTGCAATCTCAACATACTTTATCAAGAACAAAAACAAGTGCATTGATTTGGTTTTGATGTGAAAACACGATCTTTACCTGTGTTGCTCCTGCTCTTCTTGCTGCTCTTGGAGCTCCGTCGGGAGGAGGTGGTAGCTGAGCTGTGCTCACTGAGGGAGTCTTGAGCAGAGGAGGTGCTTCCTGTGTTCTCACTGCTGTCTCTTAGCATGCTTTCATAGCCACTGCTGCCTCCGCTGTGGTAAAACAAGGCCGTCTTGCCCATGGCTGGTGGCAGCTCGCCGCTCAGTACGCTGCTGTTTAGGGTGAAATAAAATCACAGCTAAAGATAAAATAAATTAAAAAAACAATTCATCACATTTCATAATGCACTTGAGCTCATACCTGTTGTCACTAGCGTGGCCGCTGCTGCAGCGGTGTGCTTTTCTTGGGGCTGTAATCTTGCTGTAGGGAGAGGGCAGTGTTTGTACCACAGCTGCCTTCTCCTCTCCCAGACTGTCTCCTCCCGCTCCACCCCCACTAAAAAACCACAAAATATCAAAGGTGCACAAGGAACAGTTAAAACGTTTAATGTTTATATATATATTTATTTATTTATACTGTATTATGGTAATTAAAGTAAAGCGTTCTGTGAATCTTGTTTTTGGTGTAAATGTTCGGGATACAAAACTGATCAACCTTGACCCTGCAGCATCCTTTTCCTCAGCTCGATCGGTGTCTCCTCCCTGCACATGACTCCTGGATCGGGATCCTGCGCTCCCCTGGAGAAGCTCTGAGATCCTACTGTTGACGGCCCGTAAAGGCAGTTTGGCTGTGAGGCTTCCTCCTCGACTTCGGCTCAAAGACTGGGTAGACCACGAGCTGGTGGCAGGTCCTTGCTGCTGAACGGGACTTTGGGCTGAACCCTGGAGTTGAGGAAATAAGGAAATTGAGTGCTTCATCACATCTAGTTCCATCTATTGTTCTGGTTTAAAATGTAAGTTATTTACTTCCTACCTTTCCATTGGGGGGGAGGCTGGAGCTGCGGTTGGCTGTCTGGTTTAAAGACTTGGTAGAGAAGCTTAGGGTCTTGGTGCTGGATGCAGAAAGACTCCTGGCTTTAGGACTGCTGGTCATTAGCAGCTTACTGACAGCTGATATCTTTATTTGGCTGCTGGTCTTGGCTGGGGACTGTGGAGCGCTGCTTGGACTGGTACTTCCACTGAAAATAGTGCTGCTGGAGTTCCCAGTGGGAGAAGATGCTGATCCAGCACGAGTGAGGCTACGTCCAGTACGAGGCATGGTAGTGTCCCCCCTTGCCCCTCCTCCCCCTCTGAGACTCTCACCTCTCTCCAGGGAGAAGCAGTCGTAGTGGTGGGAACCACCGTGTAAGCCGTGGGCTCTGCCCAGAGAGTTTGTTCTGTTAGCTAGCTGTTCCAGCTTGGCACTGAAGAGTCTGCTGCTGTCTATGCTGGAGCCGCGCTGTCTACTGATTCCTGCAGGAGCACATCCAGATGCCCCAGCATTATCTGCCGTGCCGCTCGCTGAAGACGCTCCATGACTGAGATTGTGGAGAGGACTGGCTGCCCGGTTTCGCTGGTCAAGGCTGGATTTCCTCACTGGTGGAAGAGGTGGAATTCCACCCTTCCTGTGAGAGAAAAAGCCTAGTTTTCCGCTGGATCGATCGAGGGTGGCACGGGGACTGCAAGGAGTTGACGTGGTGACGCCAAGGTTATGGTACTCTATTCCGCAGTCTAGACCATCATGGAGGTTGAGACGGTGCCACCCACGAGGGAGACTGCCTGTGCGGTGGATATCTGGGCTATAGATACCAGTCAGGCATTCCCCTTGGGCAACAACAGCAACCATCTCACAGCCATCCACCACTCTCTTAAAAGAACCAGGAGATGACACCACCTCTTTGCTCAAACCAGAGCTGCAGTAATCACCACCTGGTGATGAAGGGTCAGAAAAATGTCATACAAACAGATGCATTCATGAAAGTTTTACTTTAAATCAGAGTCTTCCGGTTCTTACCATTCCTGCAGAAGCCACGATGAACTCCATTTTCACCTGTGCCTTTCTCTCCTGGGGGGCTCTTCAAAGGGTGCACCTCCCTCACCTCTGGCTTCACCTCACACACAAGGTCCCAGGACATTCCCTCCTCCAGTTCACGCTTCAACCAGGGGTCTTCAAAACTCATCTCACTGGAAATAGAGGCTAAAATTTCCGAGTTGGGTTTTATGGGGTCTTTCATAAACTGGGTCTTTGTGGGTGAGGGGAGGATTGTGGGCTCATGTATAACCATGGGTTTGACTGCCACACAAGGGTGAACATTTTTGGTACTTTTGAAAGGAGAGTGGTTTCCAGGCCCTGCTAGGATTTGGATGGTGGTTTTAGCCATTGATGGAGGGAGTTTTCTCAGCCTGTCTTTATTTGCTGTACCTTTATCAGATGTGTTCTGTGACAGTACCAACTCTCCTTCTAGATTTTCTCTTCTTGAGCTTTCTTCACTCTCACAACTACTCAAACCTTCAAGACCAAAGCTACTCTCAGGATCAGCCAGGGCTTCTCCTTGTTGGCTCTGAGATTGACTAAAACTGTTGAGAGACTGATCAGCCTCACTGGCCGCGCTTAGATCACTCATCCAGGAGGAGATGGTTGAACCGGAAATAGACATCCCTATGGCTAAGGGCTCACCAGTCCGCAGCTTGGCCATAGCCACCTGCAACAGAGGGTAGCATTGTTACAAGTTGTAAAATTAACTTATTTCACTTATATTTAATATTCACTGTGTCATTTTCACTGTCAGATAAATATTTAGTAATCTAGCATAAAACAGTATTCATATCTCCCCTTTTACCATTTTCCTACTTGGCTGAACTTAACGAGAACCTTTATTTAGCAATGTGATCGGGGGGAATGAAATGCTGACACACATGCAGCACAAACAGCTGGTCCTTTGTCTTTATGCTTCTAACTGTGAAAAGTGAGTTTTTATTTATTTATTGGCAGTGTTGGGAGTAACGCGGTACAAAAGTAATTAATTACTGTAATGCATTGCTTTTTGCTGCAATGTGGTAATGTAAGGCATTACAGGGAAAGAAAATGGTAATATTTACTCGGTACAATTGTCAGTAACGCGGTAATTACAACGCATTTTTAAACCCGGAATCAAGATGTGGGTTTCCTAAAAATTCAAATTGCGGGAAGCCTGAAAAAAGATCCAGTGTCTACATATATTACATCATTTATGGACTCAGCTTTGCAGGCATTCTATGAGCAGAGAGGACGCAGCGGTGATGGCTCAAATACTCCAGCTGCGTCCTGCACGCGGCCTCTGTTATCACAAAACCGCTCCACCAAAACAAAGTAATTCGTTTGCGATCGTTTATATCAGCCCACAATCTCTGGTACTTCATGTAATTTTCAGCTGAGTTCATAATCTGTGCGCCGGTGATTTCAACTCATTGCTGCTGGATCGCAGCGCGAAGCTTATTTATTTATTTATTTATTTATTTATTTATTTATTTATTTATTTATTTTTTTATTTATTGCGTTCGGTAGATCCCTTTGGCTGATTAGTTAGAAAATAGGAAATCTAGGAAACAGTTTTTCTGGAAGACGGAGAAAACTCGCAGCATGCAGGAAGGTTAGAGAGAGAAAGGGCAGGAAGTTATTCAAAATCAAGAAAACAAAACAAAGTGCTTGAAAAGAAAAAAGTAGGTAGATTTATCCCCAATACACATTTTTACCAGTGAAAAGCAATAATATATAAGCATTTAATATTTATACATGTGATAGAATCAGATCACCCCAGAAGTCAGTCCCACATCCAGGGCCGTATCAAGGCATTTGGGGACCAAGGCAAATATAGGCTTGGAGCCCCCACCACCTTACTCCCTGCTCAGTTAATATAAAATGGCAGCGTGCTGAGAGTACAGATTGTTGTTGCTTTCATTTAATAAACAATCATTTTAAAGCACTGTTATTATATCTGACTGTTTTTAACAGCAATCCTAGCTCAGACACCACATCACTTTCCACATATATGTCATGAGCTCACTGAGCGACAGATTACCAGATTCATATTGAAGTTGTTTTGGTGAAAGTTACTTCAAGTAATGCAAAAGTAGTGTAATGCCTTACATTTTAAAATCAGTAATATTGTAATGTAATTAATTACTTTAAAATGAGGGTAACAAGTAATAAATAATGCATTACAGTTTTGAAGTAACTTGCCCAACACTGTTTATTGGAGTTAAGAAACAAGGAACTAGCTACTAAAGCAGTGACAGTAAAAAAATAAATAAATAAATAAATAAAAAAACCATGGAATTTCTTGCTCTTTTTACACTATGTGTCTTGGTAAGCTAATGCTAATGCTAGCTCTCATTGTACAAAACCCATCTATAGAAAAACAAAAGGTCAGGTTAAATATTTCATTTTAATGCAGTATTTATTTAGAAGTCTTAAACTGTTACTCTTCATACTGACAAAGGTGACTGAAATAGTAGGCAGGGTTTAGCAGAGAACCATTAACTCTAAAGTGTTGTTATCAAAGGGTTAAATCACTTGTTGCAGGGCTGTTGCAGTATGTGCATCTGTTTCATCAAGCTGAATGTGAAGAGGGTGATTAATGGCTAAGTGTTCATACCCCAGGTGAAGTAAAAAAAAATGTACCAGTTTTGGTTTTCTCTCTTTTTTCAAGGTGGACTAGGAAATGTTTTTCTGTTGCATTTGTTGCCATTTTGTTCCAAAAGCTCCTCGCATACCAGTGGTAACATATGATTAAATGTTGTCTAAAAAAGTAATACTTTTAATTGCATCAGAAATTTCTAATCCTGAGTACTTAAAGGGACTTTACGGAGTTTTGAATTTTTATGCTTGCGATTGCTCCCTCAGGCCAAAAGCGTAAAGGCAGCTTCAATAGGAGGCTCGTGCACAAAGCGCGCATGCTCTACGTGCACACTCCTTAACGAAAATAACAGCTGAGACAGTCCCGTGTGTGTGTGTGTGTGTGTGTGTGTGTGTGTGTGTGTGTGTGTGTGTGTGTGTGTGTGTGTGGCCCGGAGGACAGAGGACAGGAGAACACGCAGCTAATTAATCAAATAATTTGGTTCTGTACTTTTCTCTTCAGCACAGCCGACAAAGGTTTATGATGGGTCAGTCCTCCTGCATGCTCAGATCATGCCCTTCCCTTGCTTGAAAAATTGTTCCAAAATGACAGTTGAACCCACATCTTTTTTATCTGTGAATTTAATGCCGTTCAGCGAGTCTCAAATAAAAATTTGGGCATCTTACTGTAAAAAATATACCATTAATGTAAAAAACAAACTCGAAATAAACTATGTTCACATCCAGAATCGCGCCCGGGTCTTCCACACAGGAGTCCACCACCATATTGAGTGAGCTATAGGACGAATGATGTCTTTTTGTATCTGTAATATTTATATCCTTGATGACAGCTGAAACAACGTTCAACGAACAGTTCGGAGCGAAAATGGCTATTTTATTGCTAATTTGCAGGAAATATCTAGAAGAAAGTTCTACAGAAAGTAGCTAAGGGTCCTCAGAAATGTAGCTAGGTTCATCACTAGGCGTTAGGAACAGCGACAAAGTTGCTGAGTTGGCACTACCTCACTCTCTGCTGCTAAAGCTACTGATAGCAAATGCTACGGGCTATGCCTGAGCGTGAACGCGCATGAAGCAGCCTGCTCGACCCGAGCAGCTCTCTTTTTCTGTGATTTTACAGAAAAACAGGCAATCACAGTAAAAATGCCAGGGCTCATTCTACAGGACCAGGACATTGCAGGAGAATGTATGAAGAAGACATTTATTATTTCTATACATGTTTTGACTGTCAAACTTCCATAATGCCCCTTTAATGATTGGAAATCTTCAGGACTAAAACAGGACTGTTGCACTAACCTCTGCCATGGCAACCACCTCAGAGGCAGTCGTAAGCCCCGCTGCGATGGGAGAATTTTCTACAGGTCCGTCTGAATCGGTACCACAGACGATGTTGATGGGTTGAGAGTCTGAAGCAAGCGCAGCTTCTGAGCCACAGTCACTGTTGAAGCTGATGATGCTTGTTGGACGGCCAGCCACGCTGCGAGCTTCAATAAGAGCCGTAACAACAAGGTCTTCCTCACCACTAGGGATTACAGTGTAGACCAGTTCCTCTTTCCCCAGCAGGACAGGTCCACTAGCTCCTACAGATTCTACTGGTACAGGTGGAAGAGAGAGAAACAGTTAGCATCATGATGTATTTGATTACATAGGTGAAATGCTGAAAATTAGAATATGTTTAAAAAGGATTGAAATGTCTGACTTTGCATGTAATGAGTCTATCTCATATATTAGTTTGACCTTTTAGGTTTAATTACTAAAATGAATTAACTTTTGCACGATCTTCACATATTTTGAATTTCACCTAAACATATGCGATATATAGTTGTAACTGGGACTAAATGCCAGTGACATATTTTGCATCACCATCCTTGTGCGTGTCCAAAGGTATTGGCGGGACGTCATCATCACAGAGCGTCTCAGCTGAACCCAGGCTGGCAGACAGAGGAGGAGTTGTCTCTCGAACTTGTGGACTCATACCTGCAGGAGACGTCCTGGACAACAGGGACTCTGTTGAGGAGCGTCCACTGTCAGCTGCCAAACTGTCTGCAGAGTAAGACACACATGGTTGGCACATCAGTGTATTTTGTTTTTCATTTGTAATATATGTAGTCATCTGTTATTGCATTGGCATGTCAGACATTTGCCGATTTTCATTGTACTGTATATATTTAATATTGTTTTGCCATTATAAAACACTCATAGTATTCAGAAAAGCTCTTTGATGTTTGTTAAACCAATAATTAGCAAACATTTGTGGTTTTTGACAGATTTGTCATTCTCTAGCTCTAGTACTCAGTAGGGCTGTTTAATGACAAGAATATGGCAATAATATTTATCCTAATGCAGTGGTCACGATATGATATATTTCAATGCTTAAAGCCAGACGATAATTGCAATTTTTCGGGAGCCTAAGGGGCTCTGCACACGGGAGGCGACATCGCCTCTCCTCCATTCATTTTCAATGAGACATGCGCGACAAATTGCTAATCATGGGTCTCCCTCCTACTAAGCGAAACGCGAAAAACATGCGTGTGAAATTTTGCGCTCGTGCACGTGTCGTGCACAGGCGACCCATCAACGCGATCCCAGAAAGTTGAAACATTTTCAACTTTTCATCGCTGTCGCTCGGACGAGGACCAATCAACGGAGGTTTCATTCACTGACCAATGAACGGACAGGATGTTCCGTACATCTCCGAGTAAACATGGAGTAGAAGTTGATAATTATTATGTTTTATAGTAAAATCAGAAGTAAGATTTCACATAACTCTAGCAGCACCTTGTGAAACATCATATCTACCACTTTTTTAACTCTGAACCACTTAAATAACCTTAATTCCCTCCAACCTGACACAGCCAAACAAAACAAAGGAAGTTTCGATTTCGCCATGGAACAGAACGCGTAGACGGCTTTGCTGCTGGCCACTGCCGCGGATCTCCTCCCGTGTGTCAGGTAATAAAAGTGACAGCGACAAATTTTGCTGATCGCGGTCGTTTGTCGTCGCCCGTGTGCAGAGCCTCTAAGTCACACCCATTTACTTCCAGACCATGGGTCCCCGGAACAAAGAGAAAATGAACACAAGTCAATGGGGCCATGGATTTAACATATGAATTCCATGAATTTTAAAAGCACAATTTTAATGCCAAGAACGCACATTTTTTTCAAACTGCAGCAAAAGTAATTTTAGATTTGTGTAAAAAGACGTTTAGGACTGCAAATACAATATTCGTCTCTCCAAATTGGCGTCATCAAGTCAGACATGGAGAACAGGGGAAGATTAGCTTAGCAAGCTTTGCATTTTTCTTCCAGGATGAAAGAAGGAGCATTAAATGTGGAAAAAAACCACTATAAATCTGGTCATGTGGTAAGTAGCAGCTACGCTGGGGTTGAAAGAGATTCTGTTGTGACGTCATATATACGATGTCTGATTTGTAGTCTTTTTATTTATGAATTTTTACAAGCTAACAGATCTCTAAGTACGTGACGGACATAGTCGAAACTTACGTAATTTATTTCCATTTAAATTGAAGTACAACCTGAGTGTGATTCAGGGCATGAAGCAAAATGGATAAGAAAATAGCTTTTATAGCTCCGTTAAATTGTATTCATTTTTTCTTTGTTCCGGGGGACCCATGAGCTGACCGGAAGGGGAGGAGACTTAGAATCCCTACTAATCACAAGATCTGTTATTTTTGCCAGACTGAAGGGATAAAAGTTAAAACTGCTACCGCCTAGCAGTCAGAGTTTGAATTACATCACACAAAAGAAATACAGTAAATGTTTCCAAGTAAATTCTCAATAAAAAAATATACACTGCTGTTAAATATCATTTCAGTACCATATCGCAAAATATGATCATAATTCAGTGTATAGATGTTTTCTTAATCCACTTTATTCAGGCTTGACCATCAGTAAACAATTTTTAATGTTCGCACCTTGTCAAAATTATACAATGCAAGTGTTATCTTTAAAGTTCAAGGATCATAAACTTTATTTAAAAAAAGATGCTTACTGTCTGAGGTCTGGATGTCCTGAGCCAGAGTGTGTGAGGACAGAGGGGGTGTTGCTGGCATCACACCTTTCTGAGTATACACTTTACTCCTCTGAGAGGGGGACGATGGAGGTCTGAGGAGTGAAAACAACACCATCTCCTGAAACAGAACAACGTGATGGTTGTTTAAATAATGTCTGTGTGAAATCTGTTCTTCACCTGTACTCTGAGGTTTTGGTCAGACTTGCGATGCCGAGGCGTGGCGATCCAAGAGGGCGTCCTTTCCCCTCGACATTTCTGACCACATTCAGATTCTCACCGCTACACAAGTAGACAATTAACCTAAATTATTACCCCGAGGCTGATGGCAACACTTGAAAGTCAATGTGCCAAGGCTAAATATAGAACAGCACCTGTCATGTAAGTGGGAGCTCTTGGCTCTTTGCAGGGGGTTAGAGGTGATGCCGCTGCTGCTTCCTGTTACGCTCCTGGAGCGGGTAACTATGGGGCATCCAGTAACCTGAGCCAGGCTGTGGATCATTGTCTGGGCCAGCTCTGCCTCCTCCACCACCTCCTTGATCTCCTGCAGTTGCTGATCATTGCTTCTCTTCTTGGACGCTGCTGCTGCTGCTGAGAAGGAGGGTAGCATTTCACATTTTTTAAGAATGGAAATCCATTCTCTTTGTAAAAGGCAAAAAGCAGTGGATTTGCTGTGGAAACAGAGATGTCACATGAATAAAAACCAGGAGTAACACATTCATCAGCGCTAATACCTATTTTGGTGCCTGTGTCCAGCACAGCTGCAGGGCCAGGAGCTGCAGCAGGGCACTGAACAGATGAGGGGAGACATGACTCTTGTTTGGCACTTTGTTTGCTTGCTGGAACCTCTTCAAAAGGAAACTTTGCCACCTATAGAAATGGACAGAGAAACCTGTAATTTTCACATGAAAAGGAGTGTTGGACATCATTACTAAAAAAAATAATAGTGTGTTATTTTTAAAAAGTCTTCAGTTCTTGTGGGTAAATGTGAAAAAATGCTTAATCGGCAGCATAAAAGAAAACAACGAACAAAGAGCTGATTTTTTTGCTTAAAGGAAAGACAACTGCACCAAAAACCAAAGGTTTGTTCAGATATGCAAACAAAATGTTAAACAGATGCAAAACTCATTGTTTTTCATTTGAAACGATGCTGTTCCGCTTGTCAAAAAGGAAACATTGGACCAGAAACCAACTCTGGATCGCTTTTCTTTTTTCTTTTGCTTTAAAACAGCTGAAGAAATTAATATGAAGCATTTGTCACCTCCTCACTGCCGTCAATGCAATCCAGTCTCTCTTGCAGCTCAGCAAAGGTGTTGCACTTCAAGCATTCGGCTCCCTCCTCCGGGACAGGGGCCAACGGCTGACCAAGCAGGGACTGAGATGGCTGCGACGGTGGCTGAGAGGGACCGCTGGGCTGCTCGTCTGCCTGGGACTGAACGTGTCGGAGGAGAAATCAGTTATCATCTGGTTTTGCTTAGAGAAAAGCTTCCTCTGCATGCTTATATAATGCATATAATCAAATGACCTTGATCTGTGCTCCAGCTCCTTGAGTTTGACTCGGCGCCTGATGCTGCTCAGATGTTTTTCCTCGAAGCAAAGCCGGAATAATCGGTACAAATTCTGGAGGTCCCTCGTTGTCTGTCAGCTCTCTGTCTGACACGGCAGCTCCGTTTGGACCCACATAGATCACAGTGTCACATGACTGCTCACTGCTGGAGTATTCATCTGGGTCGCTGGACAGTCGCAAAAGCGGCAGGTCGGAGTCAGTGTCGCCACGGTGATGGAAGGGCCTCAGGTGGGTCGGCCGGCGCATACGACCCTCCTCACAGGAGCTCTCTCCTCCAGAGGAGCTGGATGTATATTGCTGAGGAAGGAGAGTGATGAAGTCATGAATGAGAGAGAAATGTTAAACAGGGACAATTTAGTTTTAGATTTGATCTTTCCTAAAATTAATAGCACTTGTACTAGTTTAGTGCCGACCTATACAAAAATCAAAATAATATTTTAAAGTAAGAAAAACATTTTGCACCCGAATTAAATCTTATCCTAAAACTGTATTTCATTTAAACATATAATTTCTACATTTATTTGTGTCCCTTGATTAGAACATTTTGAGACATTCTGCTTTTCTGCACTTTTTAATCATTCCTTTAAACATAATTAAGAAAATACAGAAGATGTTAAGTGGTAAGATGCATCTGATTTCAAAGTAAAAGTGCAAATCTTTCCTGTCATACAATATTGTCTGGAAATAAAACATGCATTTAATATAAAAGTAATGAGTAGGGTGCTGTGAGGTATGCCTCATCGTTAAAACTGACAGGTTTGCTGCTTATTAGTTTAAATAAGTAAGGTTTCTAAATTTTAACGAAGCATCAAACTCACCACCGTGACTTTAGTTTTCTTCTTTTTCATCCGGAGGACACGTGAAGCAATCTGGATTGTGGAAAGGGTTTCTGAGAATTCTCTGGGTGAGGCGGAGATGTGAGCAATCATGGTGGTCCGGCAGTTCATGTTGCCTAGCGACTCCCTTAGCAACATGGTCAGCTTGCTGTCCCTGGTTACACACATACAGCGAGACGAGAGCACTATAGACAGGTTTGAAAGGGATAAAATCATCGCTAAAGTGTGAGACGGAACCAAATACTTTTCTGACAGAATTCCTTTTATTTGGAAATTTCACAAATCCCGAACCAGCTGACTGAACATTTGTCACAAGTCTGAAAATGTGACACAAACACATGAAAGCTTGTTCACAACATCTTTGTAGAAACCAGACTGTGTCTTCAAATCTTAATACTGCAGAATGATCTGGTTCCCAGATTTATTTTAGGATAAACTAGGCGATCTCCTGGGTGGGCCTCTGCAGACGTTCACAATCTTCTGTGTATTCATGTGTATGCGTGTGCTAAGAACCTGTAGGCTGATGTAGACTACAACTCCTCTGTGGCCCGTTAAGTCACGCTGCTGTCCCTTTTTTTCTAAAAACACAGCCTGCAGTCAAGTCACACACACACATGCAAACATATGCACATACTCCTACGGTGACCTCCTCTTTTTCATCAGTGCTTTCTTACTCTATTTGCCCACCTCAGGCTTCAACAAACCCCCCTCGTTCTCCCTAGATCCGCCTGCATCTCTGTCTTAGATTAACAGAGATAGATTCGTGACTCATAAAAAATTCATATGCATTTCTTTTCCAGAGAGAAGCTTCTGGATTAGACCTTAACTCCCAGTCTGTGCTGGATTTATAACCAGAGTTTCACCGGGGAGGGAAACTATGAGAAACGTGATGCTCAAAGGGGTTCTAGAAACTGTTCTTTGAGCCTCTATATACCAAGTGAAACTTTGTTGGGGCTCACTATGGTCCAGGAGCCCCAAAGCATTGCCAAATACAACCTCGTTTCATCAGTGGTTCCACAATGGCTACAATGTAGCTTATCACCACCAGCATGTGTGTGTGTGTGTGTGTGTGTGTGTGTGTGTGTGTGTGTGTGTGTGTGTGTGTGTGTGTGTGTGTGTGTGTGTGTGTGTGTGTGTGTGTGTGTGTGTGAATGACTGATATGAAACCATTTATCGAAATTTGTAATGTTCTCTGGTACTTTCAAATTTAGAAGATATCAGAAGTTTTTTTTTTTAAATATTTATTTTGAAAAGCTGAACATGTCTAGCCTGGCCTGCCAGTCTCGTCCTCTTTAATTATGCACAGAGAATGAGTCTGGTAACTCACAGCCAGAGAGGCACATGAGGGCCGGGACTAGCCAGCTCAAAAATAACCAATCAGAAAAAAGACGAAAATGCCGACATTACCGCTCGACGACGCTGTAGTTTTTTTTTAGCTGTAGTCAAAAATGGTGTCTGGCAACGGCGCAAACATCTTTTTTAGAAGAACGGCTTTTAGCGCTTCTCCTCGTTTTAAAGACATTCAAGTCATTTGGAACAAAGGAAGGAGCTGCAGCAAACTCTGCTTCAGTCACCATGTTTATGACAAACTCGGCGTTGCGGTGTGTCACGTACGATACTCAGTGCTGATTGGCTCAGTTAGAATTCTCACGGGGTGGAGTTATTTGAATAGGAGAGCTCCCAGACTCTTTCTCTGTGCAGAATTAAACAGAGGAGGAGTCTGGCAGGACCGTCGTGTAGGGGAGTCAAATAAATGTAACTCGCTCATGCCTGGGATTATCAAGTTTTACATCCTGCTGTTCTGTGGGTGGAGTTGGTATATGAGCTTAAACAGAGGTTTTCCCCAACTGTGTCAGAACCTGCACTGAACCTCACCAGCTTCACAGCAATGACATTAACTAGCCTAACAACATCCACCCAACTACACTGTTTGGTTCTTTATTTTCAACAACGTCATTCGCTGCAATCTTCATCTCTTTTTTTCCCGTTTGGGGCTCTCCTTTTTTCAATATACAGTATACCAGCCATGTAATCTGTTACCTGCAGCAGGAGACTAAAGCCTAATTTATACTTCTCCATCTGCGTCGGGACAGATGCACGCAATGCCATTATCCGTCCTTTCGAGGGCTCTCCAGCAGGCTCACAAGGATGGATGGAGTTGAGCTCCCTTTTCTAAACATTCGCCCTTCAAGATGCAGAACTCAAGCTTAGGATAGGTCAGGATGCCGCTGTCGTGGACAGTGCCGCCATTGCGCCCTCAAAAACATAGAGAGCCGAGGATATCTAGCGGCAGACACGGAGCCGCTTGAAGAATACCTCTCGGAAAAACTCTAAAAAACCGAATGTTTTATTCACTCGTGACAGGAGGAGTGAAAAGATATGCAGCAAGCGTTTTATTCATGGATGGAAATGACGGGGAACGTGGGTTTAGAGGTGCATGAAGAGGTGGAGGAGAATGAGGGACTAATTTTTCCGTGTGAAAAAGTCTCTGAAATACAAAAAACAAAACCCATAATACAAACACAATAGTAAATGCACTATCTTGGACCGGATACATGACAGGATACTACAGTGTTAGCCCTCTTTTGTCCTGGTTGGGAATTGCTTTGCAACACTCTCAGGAGACGGAGAAGTCAGAGAGCAAAACGGATCTGTCTGTGCGAGCGTGTCTATCCCTCATGGAGCTGACGGTGAAGTATAAATTAGGCTTAAGGCTACACAACTGTCATAATTACTTTTATAATTTTGAGGAAATGATGGTAAAATGAGTTATATGGGTTGATTTTAACCTGTAAAACACTTTGAGCTGTATTTTTTGTATATGAAATGTGCTATACAAATAAAGTTTATTGATAGATTGATGGGTTGGGCATTGTTCGATTTTGAACGATTCCGATTACAATTACAATTCCTAGTTTCGATTCAGGTTCCTATCGATTCCCGATTCCAATTCTTTGAAGACATGACATGTTTTACATGAGCCAGCTAACCACAGGTCGTACTTGATGAAATAATCTTAACTTCAACATGAATTTTAATTCTATGAACAATAACATCACCTTCATTTAGACAAAAACATGTTTTGGAGGAAAAAAAGAAAAAGACTTGCAGCACAACCAGTGTGTTTGTTTCTGACCACAACCAAAGTCTGGAACAATCCTCTGGGATGAGAGGCTAAATGTCTCCAACATATCCAGAAACGTCCAGCTGTTTTCAGCTAAAACTCTCAGGATGATCATGTCCAGGATGACTGAGAACTACACCTCCATGCTGCAGCAGCTTCAGTCAGAACAGAACGTGAAACTTAAATGTAGCTGCTGTCAGTAGCAATCCAACAGATTTTAAACATTAAAACTCTCAACAGAAATAGTTCAGAAAGGAAATTAAAATGTTATTTATTATTATTATTATTATTATTATTATTATTATTATTATTATTATTATTATTATTATTATTATTATTTATTGTGGCAGAAGCTGGTGTGGTCCACCACAGAGAAGCTGCTCTAGCATGATGACTTTAATACAGGTTATTGTTCAGCCTTCTGACGCTCACGTGTCTGACTGCTGACGCTCCGTGTGTGTTTTTATTTCTGCAGTGAGACAAACTCACCTCACACCGTCCAGAGTTTGTTCTTTCAAGTTTCTATTAAATCCACCGTGTTGACGTATTTAACAAGTTTCCTCTAAGCTGCAGGAGTTAAAGTTTACATTACGGAGTAAAAGTTCGGCAGACGCGTTTGTTTATATTTGGCCGCTGCGTGCGGGGTGGGGGCAGGGAGGGGGGACTCGGTGCTGCACACAGACAGCTGATGTGATCAGCTCTGAAAAGCCTTGATCACCATTTGCAGATCACGTTTATTTTTCATGGAGATCGGCTGCGGATTCCACTTCCGTCGGCATACTAGGAATCGAAATAAATACGTTGAGCGATTCCGGGAAAAATAAACAGTTGGAACCGGTGTCGGTACAGGATCTGCTCGGGTGCAGGATCGGCTCGGGGTCCTTCGACTGCCGATGACGTCAAAGTAGTTGATTGGCTGAACATGAAGCTTACGGAAGTGACGTTGTCACGTTATTATTTTAATTGGTCAGAACAAATTTATGGTCGTAGTCTTAGCGGTTGTAGTCCTGTAGTCCAAAAATCAACACTTTTTGGAGAAAATATGTTTGCATTTCTAAAGGAAATGTAAAATATAAGCAAATGATAAACGGTGACCCTCAAAAGCTCTTGATGTTGATGAAATGGGGCAAAATAAAATATAAGAACTTTATTGAAAGACACCAAGCAATTTTTTGAATCAAAGAATGTATTTAGATAACAACTAAGGAAATATACAGACGAACTCCACATTAATACAAACAGATATGGCTTCACATATAAGAACTGTTCTATTTTTGTCAGTCCGACGTTGGTTTTATGCAGTTTCACATTCTTTACAAAACAAAGACAATATGGTGTTTTATTAACAAATTACAATTATAAAGAAAACATTTAGGTGTTAACAAACAAGAATTTATTAACAAAACTGCTGATGTCTTTGCAAAACGTGTGTGAAAGCCGGGTAGATTCGCGATAATGTGACGTCATCGGCAGTCGAAGGACCCCGAGCAGATCCTGTAACGACACCGGTTCCAATCGATGCTCGATGCTCGATGCCCAACTCTAGTTTTGATAGAACCCATTTATAGCTCTAGTTCACCTTTTTTACAGAAAGCTGAAATCCAGGGGTTAACGGATTTACTTTTGGTGGCTGTAGAGGCATTGTTAAAAATGGATGTTCTGTTCAAGGGAACCAATTTTTCAAAAGCAGGGACACAAGAGTATTCATGTTAAAACGGTACTTCATTGTTTCTAAGTGCTGAGATAGAAATCCAATCAGTCCTAATTTTTGAGGCACAGCAGAATGCATCAAAGCTTCTTTTGCAAATTTCTGTCCTACAGAAATATAAATATGAAATACCAATACATTTTTTTTTCTAATTTACACTGTCTGAAGTTGAAGGACATCTTCTGTTATCCTTAGTGAAAAATACATCTTAGTGAAAAATACATCTCCTGCTGTGGACCATCTAATGCTTGGTGGGTTACACATTCAGAAATGCTCACTTTGGTTGTGGCCAATGTTATTTAAGTTTCTGTTCCATCTCCATCAGCTTTAACCAGCTCTGCCAGCCACAAGTTATTTTCGGTCTGAAAATCGTGGCTCACTGCATGCCTTATTTTTTCTGGCCATTCTCTGTAAACCCCAGCGATAGCTCAGTGTGAAAATCAATACTGGGACCAGCCCGTCTGGCACCAGCGGCCTTGCCACACACAAAACCATCATGTTCGAAACCACACATTTTCTTAATTCTGATGCTTAATTTGAACCTGCGATTTTGACTTTGAACCTTAACTATTTCTGCAGATTTAAAAGAGCCTCTTCTGTTTAGCTGATGATTATTAGCTTTTGGGTTTACATCAACATGAACATGATGTCATTTAATCACTGCCAGGGCAAAATAGTTTCCTGCTAAGGATTGAACTCGGCTGTTTGCATTTTTGCAAGGGTTGATTTGTAGCAGATGGTAAGCCGTGTCCCTTTTTGTCCACAAGCTTCTATCCATTCATCATTTTCTGAGGTTGGGTTATGGAGGTAACAGGTCCGGGAGAAAGACCCTTAAGTCCAGTTCACTCTGCGGGATAATTATGCCAATTTTTGACCCAATTCTCCCCTTCTGACAATCTTATAATGGTAAATGGCCTGTATTTTTACAGCAACTTCTAGAATCCTAGAACCCCCAAAAAGCACATAACAGTAATTCACCCATTCACACACTGACGATGATTTGTTACATGGTAGCCATAGCTACCCTGGGGCTGGGGCACACTGACAGATGCAACGCAGATGCAACGCAGATGCAGCGAACCTACAACCCGCTACGATGCAAGCACTTAACTCCTCTGCCACCCCTCACCTGAATGCCATAACGGCTCTAATGATAACCTTAATTAGATGTGTCTGCCATTTGTGGCGTGTTGAGAGATCTCTAGTTTGGTTGGAAGCATATTGGGACCACACAGATCATAGATCAAAAAGAAATTTGGATATTTTACAAATTATTCTAACTTGCATATATTGTGTTGTTGTTTTAAACCTGTCTCATAATCTACATGCTCGATGCAGATTTCCATGTGAGGAAATGCACGAATTAAAAGGATTTTATTTAAATTGTTTAGGACTGCTGAATGTTTTCAAATCTTTGCATAAAAACTGAACCAAAAACAAACACGTCAAAAAGTCAAGTCTTAAAGATGTGGTTCATTTGTTCCAGGATCTAGAAGTGAGCCACATCAGAGGAGAGCTTCACACAGCAGGATTTGGAGTTTTATTTCCTGATATTTTGACATCTTGACTCTGATTGGCTAACAGCTATGTGACTCTACCAATGACTCTGTTTGCTCTGCAATGTTGATGTTTTATCTCCACAAGCCTAAATGAGTTCTGTCGTGGTGGAGTTGCTAATGCTAATGGTTAGCTTCTACTAGCTTCTTCTAGTCCATGAATAAGCGACAGTGTGATGTAGATTTTTCAGGCTTTTCAAATACTAGAGTTTCACTGTCTATTTTCTATCAGAAGCTAATGCAGGAGATAGGCGTAGGAGACTGTTTTCATGTTCAGCCTGCATGAAAAACTCAGATTGACCAATTATAATCAGAAATGATAATTTAAAATTGTTTTTTTTTCAGTTTTCCACATTTTTAAATTTACAGGTGACCGTAATCCGTAATCATAAAGGTTGGTTCTAATCCTTTCATACACCAGTAACACTCACCAGTGTTGAGCAGAGCTTGTTTTTTCAGAGCATATATGAGGTTGTTTAACAAAGCTTGAGATTAAAGGAATGTAGGAAGAAACTGTGTTACATAACCTCAACAAGAGAACAACACGCTAGAAGAAAAGATAACAGTAGACATTATTATTTTATTTTAACTCTCACTTCATTGACAAACCTGCAGCGATTGCATTTTATTTTCTTTTTTCATTATTAGCTACATTTTGTTCTCTCTTCCTTCCTCTCGTTGCAGTCAGTAAACCAGCAAAATGAAGGTAATGAATATGGAAAAGCAGCTGTTGTTGTTTAAAACATTAAGTCACCCAAACCTAAGGCACCTAAAGAAATTTGCCTGCTTTTCTTTCCTCTTCTCCTCCAGCTCCAAAACATCCTGCCCACCACTTCAAGCTCCATCTTTCTCTCCTCCACATTTCAGTTGATAATTTAGCCTTCTCTACACTCTTCTATTTCTGCCCCAGTTCTCCCCCTTAACATTAATCAGCTCGTCCTAGCACACTTCCTGTCTGCACTGTCCATCGACGCACGCACACGCACACACACACACACACACACACACACACACACACACACACACACACACACACACACACACACACACACACACACACACACACACACACACACACACACACACACACACACACACACAAAGCAACCTACTTGTATGGGATGTGTTTGCTCCCGTTGACCAGGGCTAGAATTACATTCCCAAGGGCGGAGAGAGATAGACACAGAGATGCCGAGGAGTTCTCCTTTTTTTTCCCTCCTCCTCCTTCTCCTTCAAGTGCTTTAACATCACAGCTGCCCAGGTCCAGCAGGTGGAGACGACTGCGACCTCCTGACACTAGCAGAAGTGAAAAATGAGTCAGGAATGAAAGAGGAACAGATAGAGGACAGTAAGCCACAAAGGTGAAATAGAGATGAAGAGACAACTGCAGACATGTTGCACCAACAGATGCAGATGAGCGGAAACAACATCCTTGTATTTTAAACAACTTCAATGACCCCAATTGTATCATTGATTATATAAAATTAAAACACAATCCCTGAAAGAAATGTTTCTAAATGTTTATAAAAGTGTGTTTGAATTGGTTTCTTCTCATTATCACAAGCCTGGTGTCAGCAGAAGACGGTGTGTTTTATAAATGTTGCTATATTTTATTCTTTCATACACTCACGTGTTGTAGATGGTCTCACATTTCTGCCTATTTCTCTGTCTCACACACAGACAGAGACACTCCTGACAGCACCAGTCTTACTATCTTTCTCAAGAACAATCACATGCAACGTCTCAAGCGCGGTTGTGTGATCTGACAGAATTATTTTAAGCTCTGAATAATATTTTTGGATGCACTGTGGACGGATCTGCTGCTATATTAATTAGTTCTATATTTTATATATGATGAAGCATTACAGCAGCATGAATGTATCTGTCTTAGTTCTGTATGGTTCGATTTCAAAAAGATATTTATCAGATACGAAAAGAAAGGTGCAGTCTGCAGAAACACCCTCACTGCAATGCTTAGTTGCTGTAATAATGTTCAGGTGTTGATGATACACAGGAGAAGCCAGTGCACTCACTCCCTCCTTTGCCTGCCTTTTCCATGCGATACTGGTAGAGGTGTAAGGTGAACAGCATGTGAGAGTTTCTGTGCTCTTCCTCTGTAGTGTTGGGTCGCTGGCTGCTGTGGCGAGCTGCTATGGCCGCGTCCAGGAACCAGGCAGCCTTCTCTGGGGTGGGAGCACGGAGCTCAGACTGGTTTTGGAGCTGAAAAACATTCAGGAGAAGAGGTAGGTGCACTGCAAGCCAGCGGATTTCAGGTGCTGCTTCACTTTTACTCAAAGGGTTCAGTTTAGCCACCAAAAAGAGTCAAATCATGGATAATCTTGTTTAGCAGACAGGCTGACCGACCAGGATTTTCTAATCAGGTATTTGGTTACTGTACGGGTGTGGAAAGCAGTGATGTGTGCGTGTGTGTGAGCGCGTGCGCGCGCCCTGTATGTGTGTCCGCTGCAGGATATCATTACTGATAAGATTATGCCAGATTAGTTTGGGATTAGATAGATGTGTTTGTATCCATCCCTTTAATCCTATAAACACAAAGCTGCATGAGCACACACACACACACACACACACACACACACACACACACACACACACACACACACACACACACACACACACCTGCTCACCTTCTGCTAATAATTGCTTGGGACACTTTTCTGTGACACTCAACACCAGGGCTGTAGCTACTTGAAGATTACGGTCCTAATGGTGGTTTTACAATTCTGGTCAGATTTAACAGCAGCTTGTTTAAATCTGAGTTTTAAATTTGAAATATAATTTTAAAAACCGTTCGATAAGATGTTTGATATTTTTCATGAATTACTTCATGTCATGCTTTATATGAGGTGTATTGGAGCAGAGAAACACCTAAAACATGCAGGATAGTGATTTACGAAGACCTCCTCCGAGGTCAGAGTTTGTGTAAGCTGTTCACCTTAAAAGAACAAAAATCTAGCAGCTGGAGGCTGAAAAGTTCAAGAAATGAAAAAATAAAAATAAACACTTGATAATTAAGTACATTTTATTTATGTAGCACTTATCACAGACATAGAATCACAAAGTGCTTCACAGAGATCGAAACAAAATAAAACTAAGTCATAAAATCATAATGATCTCAAAACAGAAATAGTTTAACAAAAAAAATTAAGGAAAATAAATGAAAGATGATTACAAATTAGAGTTAAAAATAAGAAAACAAAAGATTTATGTAAAAGCAGCTTTAAATCAAAGGGTCTTCAGCTGTTTTCTAAAAGTGTCCAGACTGTCAATGCTACGTATGGATAAAGGAAGATCATTACAAAGTCAGGGTGTAACAGTTTGGAAGGACCAATCACCTCAAGTTTAGCTGGTCTTTGGAACTTCTAGAAGGTTCTGGTGTGTGGACCTGAGGGCTCGGGTTGAAGCATAAAGGGCTTGACACACGAGAGGCGACTTCGCCTCTCCTCCATTCATTTTCAATGAGACATGCGCGACAAAGCGATAATCGCGGGTCTCCCTCCTACCAAGCGAAACACGAAAAACGTGCGTGTGAAATTTTGCGCTCGTGCATGTGTCGTGCACAGGCGACCCAGCGACGCGAACCAAGAAAGTTGAAACATTTTCAACTTTTCATCGCTGTCGCTCGGACGAGGACCAATCAACGGAGGTTTCATTCACTGACCAATGAGCGGACAGGATGCTCCGTACATCTCTGAGCAAACATGGAGGAGAAGTTGATTATTATTATGTTTTATATAGTAAAATCAGAAGTAAGATTTCACATAACTCTAGCAGCACCTTGTGAAACATCACATCTACCACTTTTTTAACTCTGAACCGCTTAAATAACCTTAATTCCCTCCAACCTGACACAACCAAACAAAACAACGGAAGTTTCGATTTCGCCATGGAACAGAACGCGTAGACGGCTTTGCCGCTGGCCGCTGCCACGGATCGCCTCCCGTGTGTCAAGTAATAAAAGCGACAGCGACAAATTTCGCTGATCGCGGTCGTTTGTCGCCGTCGCTTTTATTACACATGGGAGGCAAAGCCGCCTACGCGTTCTGTTCCATGGCGAGATCGAAACTTCCGTTGTTTTGTTTGGTTGTGTCAGGTTGGAGGGAATTAAGGTTATTTAAGTGGTTCAGAGTTAAAAAAGTGGTAGATGTGATGTTTCACAAGGTGCTGCTAGAGTTATGTGAAATCTTACTTCTGATTTTACTATAAAACATAATAATAATCAACTTCTCCTTCATGTTTGCTCAGAGATGTGCGGAGCATCCTGTCCGTTCATTCGTCAGTGAATGAAACCTCCGTTGATTGGTCCTCGTCCGAGCGACAGCGATGAAAAGTTGAAAATGTTTCAACTTTCTGGGATCGTGTCGCCTGTGCACGACACGTGCACGAGCGCAAAATTTCACATGCACATTTTTCGCGTTTTTCGCTTAGTAGGAGAGAGACCCGCGATTATCGCTTTGTCACGCATGTCTCCATGAAAATGAATGGAGGAGAGGCAATGTCGCCTCCTGTGTGTCAAGCCCATAAGACTTTAACAGTTCAGTAATATAGGGAGGAGCTTGAACATGTAGAGCCCTGAAAGTTAAGTCAGGATTTTAAAATGGATTCTAAAGTTAATGGGTAACCAGTGCAGAGACATTAGAATAGGAGTGATGTGTGCTCTTCTCTTTGCTCCAGTTAGGAGCCTCGCTGCAGAGTTCTGGACCAACTTAAGGAGGCCAAGGGCTTCTTTGTTAAAACATGTGAAAAGTGTGTTACATTAATCTAGACTGGAGGAGATAAAGGCATGGATAACCATTTCAAGTTCATGTGTTGCTACCAACCTTCACAGTTTGCAGATATTTCTTAAGTGATAAAAACAGTTTCAGAACAAAGTTTTTGAGTGGCCTTCAAGAGACATTGATTGGTCAAAAACAACACCCAAATTCCTCAAGTTTGCCTTGACGGCAGAAGAAAAATTACCAAGTTTTTGACTAATCAGATATTCAGTCTTTTCAGAGTTTAACTGAAGGAAGTTATTTTCTAGCCAGCTGGTGATAGCTGATAGACACTCTTGTAATTCAGACAGTTGATAGAACTCAGAATCCTTAAAAGAGCAGTACAGCTGAATGTCATCTGCATATAGGTGATAAGAGACGTTATGAAAAGAATCAGTTATCTGTTCAAAAGGCTGTATGTACAGTAGAAACATGAGTGAACCCAAAACAGAGCCTTGATAATGCTCATACAAGTCTCCGAAGGCTGAATTAGTTTGGCAGCTACATGCCAGTAATGCAAATTTAGAGTTGTGTACTTTTTTGTACCTGCATGCCACAGATGGGGTCCTCACACAGGTAAACTCCAGGTGACTGCCCGTCCTGTAAGCTTCCCGTCGCCACCTCAGACAGCAAATCCTTTAGGTTCTCATCCTTTCCCCACACCTGAACAGAAATTAACTTTTATTTTATATTAAAGTTTATTATCTAGATCAATCAAAAATACATAACTGAGCTGATTGATGATTTAATCAAGGCTGTAAAACCAGATTCTGCTGCCAGAGGCCTTTTGGGAGAAATCTGTCAGTAATGACACATAACAGCTGAGGTTTCATCACTCACCTCCACAGCAGAGACACGAACAGAGAACCTCGCTCCTGTTTTCTCCTTTCTTTCGTTGATGAGCTTAAACAGCCAGGAGATGGCACAGGGGATAATACCCAGAGTCTGGAGCGAGTCATCACGGCCAATCATTGTGTACGATTTTCCTAGACGACAGAAAAACAAAACAGAGAAAAGGGTGAGCAGAAAGATGGAGATCTATCACAAAGAAAGCCATAAAAACCCATTCTCCCTAAAGGGGAGAGAAAATGTGTGAGTGTGAAGAATGTCTCGGAGTATCAGAGCTTCCAGATCTGTCTCTCTCAAGGTGATGATTATTCTCCTCCCATACCTGCTCTGGCTGTCAGGAGTTGGAGATCAAACACACACAGAAACAAAGCCATATACCACAATGAGCAATCATACACATGGTAAACAGAGGACATCAAAAGCCTGACTCCTGTAGTTCGTGTAGAAAAATGTACCTGGTTTGTTCTGAAAGGGGACGGGGAGAGGTTGTCAGCTAGGCTGTAATTTTACATTGATCCGCCTAAATGTGCTGAGTAGTAAAACAATATCTTTCGTTGTAATAATATTAAAAGTAGCATATTTATGATGTATAAAGAATATGTTAGAGTTTACAATAATTTGTCTAATTTGTCATATTTAAAGGGACTTTACGGAGTTTTGAATTTTTATGCTTGCGATTGCCCCCTCAGGCCAAAAGCGTAACGGCAGCTTCAATAGTAGGCTCGTGCACGAGGCGCGCATGCTGTACGTGCACACTCCTTAACGAAAATAACAGCTGAGACAGTCCCGTGTGTGTGTGTGTGTGTGTGTGTGTGTGTGTGTGTGTGTGTGTGTGTGTGTGTGTGTGTGTGGCCCGGAGGACAGAGGACAGGAGAATGCGCAGCTAATTAATTAAATAATTTGGTTCTGTACCTTTCTCTTCAGCACAGCCGACAAAGGTTTAAGATGGGTCAGTCTTCCTGCATGCTCAGATCATTCCATTCGCTTGCTTGAAAAATTGTCTCTAAATGAAAGTTGAACCCACATCTTTTTTATCTGTGAATTCAATGCCGTTCAGCGAGTCTCAAATAAAAATTTGGGCATCTTACTGTAAAAAAATATACCATTAATGTAAAATGGAAACTCTAAATAAACTATGTTCACGTCCAGAATCGAACCTGGGTCTCCTGCACAAGAGTCCAACCAGGATGTCTTTTGTATCTGTAATATTTATATCCTTGATTACAGCCAAAACAACGTTCAAAGAACGGTTCGGAGTGAAAATAGCTATTTTGTTGCTAATTTGCAGGAAATATCTAGAAGAAAATAGCTAAGGGTCCTCAGAAATGTACCTAGGTTCATCACTAGGCGTTTGGAACAGCGACAAAGTCGCTGAGTTGGCACTACCTCACTCTCTGCTGCTAAAGCTACTGATAGCAAATGCTACGGGGATGCCTGAGCGTGAACGCGCATGAAGCAGCCTACTCGACCCGAGCAGAGCTCTGTGAAGCTGACCCCCCCGTCAAAAGTGGAGGCAAATAGGCTGCTCGGTTAGTGCTTTGTTTGAGCTGATTTGTGCAGGTAAAATTGACGTTTGTGCTGCTATGGTTTTTGAGATATTAAACTTTATTTAATAGGTCCCCCCCCCCCCCCCCCCCCGGACTACTCCTAACTGCTCCAAAATGGACCACAACAGTCTACTGTTTTAGTGCTTTGTTTGTGCTGATTTGTGCAGGTGAAACTGACGTTTGTGCTGCTATGGTTTCTGAGATATTACAAGTTTTAATTTAGCATGATGACTGCTCTCTTTTTCTGTGATTTTACAGAAAAACAGGCAATCACAGTAAAAACGCCAGGGCTCATTCTACAGGACCAGGGCATTGCAGGAGAGTGTATGAAGAAGACATTTATTATTTCTATACATGTTTTGGCTGCCAAACTTCCATAATGCACAGGACTGGGGCAGCAGTAGCTCAGGTGGTAGAGCGGGTTGCCTCATGATCGGAGGGTCATGGGTTCGATTCCAGCTCCCGCCAGGGGTATCCTGCTGTTGTGTCCTTGGGCAAGACACTTCACCCAACTTGCCTGTGTTAGTGGTGGTCAGAGGGGCCGACGGCGCCAAATGGCAGCCTCGCCTCTATCAGACCTCCCCAGGGCGGCTATGGCTACAAGTAGCTTACCATCACTAGCAGTGTGTGAATGTGAGAGTGTGTGAAAGAGTCTTTGGGTGTCTAGAAAAGCGCTATATAAGTTCAATGCATTATTATTATTATTATTATTTAACAAGTCAGGTGAGTTTGTTTGTATTTGTTTATGAGTGTGAATATATTTGCGGCTTCATGAAGTTCCGTCTCTGCTGCAGGCTGTCAAGTCTCTGGCTCTTTCACTGGCTAACACAGCTTACATAGATGTTACTGTAAGCACAAAAACCAAGCTCAGTGTCGTTTATTCTATTTTACTTAAGTAACAACATAAACAACACATTTGTTCATGTATTTCATGTATTGTTCATGAAACACTTGCAGTCCTGGTCTCCTAATACCAGTTTTGAACTGTGCTTATTCGAACTTGGTCACCTGCAACTAATCCTTTGTGCTGTAGTATATAGACCCCTGAAATACACTAAGGATTGTTTGCCGGAGTTTTCAGAAGTCCTAGCAAACTGGGCTGCTGGATACAAGTGGATATTGCTACTGGGAGTCTTTAATATTCATATCTGCTGTCCTGGAAAACCTTTAGTCTCCGATTTCATCAGCCTAGTGAACTCTTTCAGTTTTACGCAGTGGGTTAATGGGGCCACACAGGAATGTGGCCACACACTGGGTCTTGTGTTATCACTGGGGTGTTCAGTAGATAATCTGACTATTAAGGATGCAGTTTTTTCAGAGCATAATCCAATATTATTTGAGACTACTCTGCATAGTAATGTGCTGGCACCTGTTGCCCCCAGTAGGTATAGTCGTCATGTGAACTCTGACACTGCAACTCATTTCACTTCGCTGTTTGAACAAGCCTTCTTTGATTTATCAGATGAGTCCTCACTGGATGGATTGCTTACTTGCTTTAATGAGACCTGTGAGGCTATCCTTAACACTGTTGCGCCGTTAAGGCCCAGGAGGGGAAAGCGTACGGTAAATTTATGGTCGACGGACTCTACTCGAGCTGCAAGAAGGACATGTAGAAGATACGAGAGACAATGGAAGAAGGATAATCTGCATGTTTCCCTAATTGCTCTACATGACAGTTGGAAATCTTACCAAGAGGCAGTTAGATCTGCGAAATTTGCATACTATTCCAATCTCATTTCCTTAAACTCAAATAACACCAGAGTACTTTATACCGCAATTAACTCAGATCTGAAATTGAATGATCACCATGTGGTGCAGGCTTCAGCTAAAATGTGTGATGAGTTCCTTGACTTTTTTATGGGGTAAGTAGCTGCGCTCCAGGCTACCATGTCTAGGGCACCGGTATGCAGCCCTTCTGTGACTGCTATCAGAGGTTTGGTAGCATTTCAACCAATTAGTTTAGAGGACTTGATCAAGATCGTTGGGGAGGCTAAGCCGAGCGGCTCGCCAGATGACGTGATGCCTACGCGCCTCTTTAAAGAAGTCTTTCCAGTAGTCGCCCCTCTAATATTGCACACAATTAACATGAGCCTATGATCTGGCATAGTCCCTGACGATTTTTAAAAGGTGGTTATTCAACCTTTGCTCAAAAAGCCTGGACTGGATGCTTTGCTGTTTGCAAACTACAGGCCCATTTCTAAACTTCCAGTCTTAAGTAAGGTACTAGAGAAATGTGTTTACCACCAGCTCTTGGTTTTTATGGATGAGAATGCCATTTTTGAGATTTTCCAGTCTGGCTTCAGAGCTCTACACAGCACTGCGACTGCACTGGTTAGAGTACTCAATGACTTATCTAGCTACTGATAGCGGTAATTCTGTGTTGTTACTTCTGCTGGACCTCACGGCTGCCTTTGACACGATAGATCATGAAGTGCTGCTTCACCGTCTCCATCATTATGTCGGGATTTCTGGGTTAGCCCTGGATTGGTTCAGATCATACCTGACAAATAGAAAGATGTGTGTAAGGATGGGAAGTTATTCCTCAGAGTACTCTGATCTACCCTGGGGGTACCACAGGTCTCGATATTGGGATCTTTGTTGTTTTCTATTTACATTCTGCCCTTAGGTTATATCTGTCGTGAGCTTGGAGTTCACTTCCACCTTCATGCTGACGATTGTCAGCTGTGCCTGCCTCTGAACACATCAGGTGGTCTCTCTATTTCTAATCTTACAAATTGCTTGACGGAGATCAAGACCTGGATGTGTGAAAATTTTCTGAGCCTAAATGATCAGAAAACAGAAGCTATGATGTTTGCTCCAAGCAGACATTCTGACTCTTCTCTAATTGACTGTGGGTCATTTAATGGCCAGCTGAGTGCTTCAGTGACTAATATTGGTAGTGCCCATTGTTTTGATTCCCACATTAATGGAGTGATCTCCTCCTCCTTTTTCCACCTTCGTCGGCTGTCAAAGATCAAACCTTTCCTGTCACGACATGATCTTGGGGCGGTAGTCCATGCTTTTATCACGGTGCGATTGGACTACTGTAACTCTGTTTTATTCGGTGTGAGCAAGGGCTCAATAGCCAGGTTGCAAATGGTGCAGAATGCTGCTGCAAGATTTTTAGAGGGCAGGCGCAAGTATGACCACATTACTCCTGTCCTGGGTGCGCTTCATTGGCTGCCCGTTGATGTAAGCATTCGTTTTAAGATACTTTTGCTGGTTTTTAAAACGTTAAATGGTTTGGCCCCTCCTTACTTGGTGTCACTGCTTCAACCGTACACCCCTGCACGGTCACTCCGCTCGGAGAACCTCATGCTCCTCTCGGTCCCAAGAACACGCCTAAAGACGCGTGGTGATAGGGCCTTTGCTGTGGCAGGTCCTGAGCTTTGGAACGAGCTTCCTCTCAGCATAAGGGCCTCCACCTCTGTTGTGGTTTTTAAGGCAAGGCTAAAAACCTACTTTTATGATCTGTCTTTAAAGCTTTCTAACTAGTTTTTCTTGTTTTACTTAAAGCAATCCGTGCATTCACTGTGTTTTTTATCTGTATCTTGTGATACAATGTTTTTATTTTCTGGACCTAATGTTTTATGTTTTTACTTGATCTGTGTAGCGCCTTGGTGGCATCTGTTTGCCTGTAAGGCGTGATTTATAAATAAAGTACAGTTGAGTATTTCAAATTTTAAACTATTTTTTTCATAAATAATGGAAAGTAATAAAAAATGTTCATTCTGAAGTGACTTTAATGTGAGCTTATAACGTTTAGCTTCTTACTTACAGATTCAGACATCTCCATTTTTTGTGAATTAGAGACTAAAATGCGCAGTTGACCTACTAGATTAAAACAAAGTACAAACGTTCATGTGTTTCTGATCTCCTGTGAGCAATTTTAGCCACAGAGTTGAGGATTAATGCTTTTTCTGTGACTTTCCCTATTTTATTAGTAAAATAGATCATCTCGTTTCCATGCAGCCCATTAAGATTCACAACCTTAGGTGAGCAGGATCACAAGGCATGATCTCATCTGCTTATACTGCAGCGCAGCTACTTAAGCTAAAACAAGCCCGGTCACGGCAGTAATGTGACAGTTAAAACTGCTTTTAAACATAATCCATCAACAGTAGATTGCTGTTTCAGGCCTATAAAAGTCCTCCTCAGCTAAATTTACACAATCAAACACCAGTAATTAGTGGGGACATTAGTCCCAGTTATAGGAAAGTTTTACAGTGCGTTATAATTTAGAATTTGAATGGTCAAAATGTAGGAATTTAGAGATGGATTGCACTAGCGATGTGTGTTGTGTTTGTGTATTTGGAGCATAAAGACAGTTACGTGCACATCTGTTCTTCTGATCCTTGTCTAAATTGTTCTGCTCTCTTACTCTTTATGGACATCTGTTTGCAGAAACGTGTTTCTTTGTGTTTGGGAATCGTTGTTACTCTTGGAGCTTGTGCGCTCATGGTGATTTAGTGTAAAAAGTGATTATTATCAACTTTTAGAAGTTTTAATTCTCATTACTAGTGTTCCTGGGAACAATGAAGGTACTTTGTGTGAATTTTTCATCGCAGCTGCATCACAGGATGTGGACTGTTGCCCCAGTGCATTATGAGTAACATGATGCAAAACTGATATAACCATCAAATCAACCAATAGGAATGGATAGGAACCTTACATGTTAAATAACTACCGTAAATCCTCTAATACAGGCCCGGGTCTGTATTTGACTCAAGCTCATCAAGCTCCAGGCCTTTATTGGAAGGAGGACCAGAATTAGAGGCAGGCCTCAATTTCTATTTGAGCAAAATTAACTAATGGTTCACTGGAGTTTTTGACAATTAAAATTGCGCCCACATTTTCAAAGTTAAACACATTTCTTTTAACAACGGTAGTTTCTGCTTCAGCCTTCTCCCCCCTCCCCCTGCGCAGCGGCCGCAAACTCACTGATGCACCTGCAGCCTTTCAGAGTTCCTGCTGTTCTAAACATTAAAATAATTATTTCATTTTCTGTTCCTCACTTCTGATTACCTTCAATGGTGTCTGTTTGTTTCAACCACCAGGTACAAAAACTAACTTGTTTTTATTTGACTATTTTTCTGTCCTGTCTGTTTATTATCTTCCTGCATCTCCTCTCAATCCTAAAGAAAAACTGCTACCTGGGTTCATATATATTCACCTTATGAGTTACCTTTGAACTGCAGTTCTAAAAGATCTACCAACCGCAAAAACAGCGGAGTGCTCACCGGCCTCATCAGTTAGGTGCGTCACCGAGGACAAAACAGGTGATGCGCCCCGATCCACAGCAGCGAAAAGCATCAGGCACAAATAAGACAGAAAACATAAAAGGAAATGAACCGACATGAACGATCGCGTGTTAAATTAGTTTTTGAGGTGGCGACACCTGATTTGATAATGTTACTGTGGCCGTGCTCAGGACGCAGATGTCTGGAGCGCATCAACAATCAGAGCTTTGCATGCGCAAGCTGGTTAAGGTTAGGATGGGGGTAAGGGGAATATTAAATTGCAAGAGAGTAAACGTCACAATTTGGTTAAATGTCCGTTTTACGGCGGGTGTCAGTACCGACGCTCTGGCACAGCGCGTTGCCTCCCGACGCGCAGGAGCTCATCACCTGCTGACAGCAGGCTGCTGTCTTTTGCGAGGACTGCATCTTGCCGGTCATTATCACATGACAGTGTCTAGTCGATGACAGGCATAAAAAGTCACACACCCCCGTGGTACTTGCCTGTTACCACATTCCACCCGGCCACAATAAAAAAACGGCCATTACTCACCTCCGCTGACTCCGACACCGGCCAAAATATGATACCCGGCAGTTACTTGAATACAGGCCAATATTAGAGGATTTACGGTAGTGATATACTATGTATAGATCAGAATAATAGATACATAAAAGTGATGCATGATGAAATTTTAAATGTATTTGAATCAAACTGAATTTTGATTCAGTTCCGATTTGTTTATAAATAACAGATTTTAAGAGATAATCCTAAATATGACATATCAACAGGGATAGGTACACATAAGTATGATGTATAAGTATGTTTATGTGAAATCGTCACACGTGCTGAAGTGACACATTTTAATTCTCTGCTGCTCTCTTTTGTCTTGCACTTAGAGGAGACTCAGCTGAATGCTGCAGATCACAAACTCAGCAGGATAACATGGCCTGCACACACGGGAATAAACACAACAGGAGCCAGTCCACAGATGGAAAAGAGTGTGTCACTTTGTGTTTGTGTGGTTGGCTCTTTGTTCATGCCAGCACGTGTCTGGGTTCAGTGTTGCAGTGTGCAGTGAGGGGTCCTGACCCTTTTTAAGTCAGCTTCTCTAAAAAAAAAAAGAATCAGCTTCAGAGGGATTAAAAAGTGAAAAAGGAAGACAGAAACAGTCAGAGCAGACTGAGAAAGCTTTCAGCTTGAGCAGACACTAATCCTCTTCTGTCTCTGATAGATGAGGCCAGAGGAGAGTCGGCCGAGTGAAGGACTGACACACTGATGCTCAGACACTCACATAAAGGCATAAAGGATGACTCACGAGCCACACATGCTCTGTTTCTGTAGCTTATGGGTGTGAGGGAGTTTGTTACCCAGTTTGGAGTGTCCAAAGCAGAAGACGCAGCCATCAGCGCCGTTCACCACAGACTGAATGACCTCAGCGACGGTTCCTGCACACACCTCGGCCTGATGATACGTAAATAGGAGGATCAAGGTCAAAACTAAAGATAAACATCTAGCAAGGCCTCAATCTGTGTTAGCTTTAGCCAAATTTAAACTAACAGTTGTTTGTTTTTAAATATCAAAAAGTTACTGTCTTGACTTACTAGCTTAAAGCTCAGCTGCTAGCCTCCAAACCACATGTGGCACGAAAATGTTTTTCTAATTCTGGGAAATCCTAACGTTGGTGAGAGTTGGGTTTATTTTAGTATAAAAACTTAACATAAAACCCAGATGCGGGAGAAAATAACTTTTACGAGTTAAAATTTTATCTAGTTTTCATTTTATATGTTCAAGCTTTTCATGTGCTGAAAACTGACGAGAAAAGCAAAATGTAGCGTGCATGAAACATTATTTCATCATAAAACAGATCATTTTAAACTTTCTGAAAATCTATTGTCCAAAAAGACAAAAAAGAAGAAAATCTGCATGAAGAAACTTGATGTGTTGTCTTAGTTGATCCTGCTAAAGCTAAAGCTTGTTATATCACAGATCTCTCTGTGTTAGGTCGATTTTAGAGACATTTTGTTATTTTTCTGTATGAACATGAAACTATTCCTTGTTTTGTAGTGTGTTCTAGGGTTAATACCTAAATAACTTACGAGCCGTGCGTTTTATAAACTCTCCTCTCACCTGGGAAGCATCAGGTGGGAATGCAGCATCAAAGGTGAACATCTTGGGTGGGACCTGATTGGCTCCTGCTTTTTTCTGTGAGGCAGCACTTGGTGTCTGGTTTGCTGACGGGTCCATGATGGTGATCTGCTTCTTTCTGGCATCCACCTTCAAGAAGGAACTGGACTCAGCTGCGTCGGATCGAGACACTGGGCACACTCGCACCATCACCTTAACCTGGACACAAAACAAACAAAAGCTCAGAGAAACAAATAATAGACTAAAGATGAATAATTCACTTTTGACAAACAACAAAATCCATCAGAAATGTAAAACTGATTGTTTTGCGACACACAAAACTTTAAAACAATGCCTTTACACCTCCAGTGTTCAATCCGAATTGTTTCGCTGTTTTGAACATTTCTCACCATGATTATTCAGTTCTGCCTCACTTGTAAAAGATCTGAAGGTTTGTTCTGAGGATTTCTGTGAAGAATTGTTGCCAGAAGGCATTTTTCCTCACCTTGACTGTGATAAACACCTTCTAAAGAAGCACATAATTCTGTTTTTTAGTACTACATTGATAGTACACGCTCTCATCCTTTTCTTCAGCAGGAGTTATTCTACCACCCTGATCCCTTCTCCTCCTTCACCTGTCACTCCTCAATAATCTCTCCCTCCTATTCTTAATCCCTTCCTATTTTTCTTTTCACCTCCTCAGCTCGCTGCCACACATCAAAAGCCTGAATTGCAGGAATCCAGTTTTAGCTTTCTCTCTACTTCTCGCTCCTCCTCTCCTCCCACTTCAGTCACAAAGTATTAGCAGACACAATTTGCCGCCCGACAGCAGCTGTTGTTTTGTTCGATATCAGCAGGAGCAAAGCGCTGTGTCATCTAATCTGAGTGAGTTTCAGAACATCTCAACACATAAACACGTTTCTGAGTTACTTACAGATGTTTTCAAGTTTGAGGCGATTTATTGTTGCTCTATTTATCCTCCTCTTTCCTCTTGCTCATGTGTCTCCCAGTGACTTTATCACAGCCTTACTGATGTCAAGACTGAGATCCTCATGAAGAATATTGTTGTCAGGAATCTTGGCGTGACCTTTGACCCAGCTCTAACTCTGGATTCTCATGTCAGCTCTCTTGTTTGCTCTTCATCCTTCCATCTCAGGAACATTGCTGAGTTCCATTCTGTCACACTCTTGAGATCAATATCCACATCTTTATCTCCTCACTCCACATGGGTGACGATGGTACAGGAGCTAAGTGCTTGCCCCGTAAACAGAAGGTTGCCGGTTCGAGCCCCGCTCAGTCTGTCTTTGTATCTTTGGGCAAGACACTTAACCCACCTTGCCTGCTGGTGGTGTTCAGACCTGTGCACGGTAGACTCGCCTCTGTCAGTGTGCCCCAGGGAAGTTGTGGCTACAATGCAGCTCATCACGCCAGGGTGTGAATGGGTCAATGTCTGATTGTGTTGTAAAGCACCTTGAGGGGTTCCAGGACTCTAGAAGGCACTGTTTCAAATACAGGCCATTTACATTTTACATTAGACTACTGCAACTTGCTTTTCAGTAGTTTGAGCAAAACCTCCCTGAACCGTGGTGGTCTGGAATACCGATTCGCTCGGCTTCTGACCAAATCGTCAAAGTACACCCACGTCACCCCACTTCTCCTCCAGCCTCACTGATTGCTGGTTAACTTCAGGTTTAATTTCAAGATCATGTGATATAGGGCATTACATGGACAAGCACCATCATACATTGGTGATCTCCTCTGTCCCTACACCTCCAGCAGGTCCTTGCGGTCCAGTGATCAAAGCCTACTGGTTGTGCAGCACAACCAAAAACTGTCCTTAGGTGTGTGTGACTGTGTGCTTCGTTATTTGTCTTGTGTGTCCCTGTGTTGCCCTGTGATGGTCTGGCAACCTGTAGAGGGTGTACCCCGCCTCTTTGCCCGGGGACTGCTGGAGATAAGCACCAGCCCCCCATGATCCTGCACGGACAAGCAGGCATAGAAAATGGATGGTTTAAAGTGGTTGTTCTTAGTGATGAGCTCCTTTTGTTACATACGTGTTTGTGTAAGAAAAGTGCCTTTTTGTCAGATGAGTAAGTGAATATGAGGGATTCGGTTATGAAGGCCTAACACAAGCAAAGACGTTCTCAGAATACAATGACAGTGCCACCTGTGTGACTTCAGAAACAACAGGTTTGGTCAGGAGTTTCAAATGAAATATCACATCACATCTCAACACATGCACACACACAATCACACACTCTGGCTCTAGCATTCACTCAGATGTATTGCTAGGCCCACCGCTGACCCCAATAAAGAAGCTCATCACATCAGTGAGACCCTAGAGGGAAACATTTCACCACTGCACACTAGACAAGATGTAACTCATGAAGTAGTCCTCCTCGAAACTCCATTTTGTCCTCATGTTTTTCAGCTTAAAAGGTGCATGTGTGTGTGTGTGTGTGTGTGTGTGTGTGTGTGTGTGTGTGTGTGTGTGTGTGTGTGAATGCAGAATCAAGGTATAAACAATAATGCTATTTTATGTTTCTCATAAGAAGAATCCAGCATAAAACATCTGAAGAACTATGTTATCCATTCATTGACTGTTCACTCCTAATCCAAGGTGTGACATATGTTCCTTTTCCCCAGCAGCACTCTCCACCTTCTCCTGAGGCATCCCAAAATGTTCCCAGGTAGCAGAGGGTATGTAATCCATAGAAAAATCAGGATCTGAGATGGAGTGTACTGCTGGGGAACATGGTGCATCTTAATCGGATGCATGAACCACCTCAGGAGAGTACTTTCAATGAGGAGAAACAGATGCTTTACTATAAGTTGGTTGATGGAGCTCCTCATTTTATCTCTGATCCAGCCTTTCCTTTGAATTTGTAATTATAATAGATGTGCTTTCAGCGCATTCCCAGCAGTGCGTTACTACAGGGAGTGTTTCGTTCTGGGCATCTCATCCCATCATCATGTGTGATTTTGCTGTTCGTGCTAAAACAAACTGGGAGAAAGATGGCAGCATGTATCCAACAGTTCTGTGGCTTGTCCTTTGCTCTTTTTACCTCTGCCATGCAGTGGTGCCCCCAAGGGGTGCCACCCCTAGAAAGGTGAGAACAGGATGTGCACATTGATTGGACGAGGTTTTTCTACAATTGTAGACTGAGTCAGTCATTTTCTCTAGTAAAATGTGTTTTTTATTCTTACCTCTTTTTGCTGAGGTACTGTTTTCGGCTCACCCAGACAGGCGGTCTTGCGAAACACTTTTCTCACAAACTTACAAAAGCGTTTTGCTGGTGTCTGTAGGGTGTCTTTCACACTGAATTTACCTGGAGATTCATTATCCTTGTTAGGAAAGGCAGATTTCATAGATATAAATCTGTGTTTTAGAGCTTTAGTGGGGGTTATTCGCTTATTTGGATCCAGATCCAACATTTTATTGAGTAAATCTAGAAATTCTATGACATCTTCTGAGTTTTCCAGGTCTTCAGGTAATGTGGGGACTTGAAACAAATCTTCAAAAGATTCGTGAGTGTGTTTGTGAGTACTTCTGCAGAATAGTTTTTTCTTCTGATTATTGAATTCCTCATGTTTTAAACCTCCAGGTTTTTCCTTTTTCGTCTTCGTCTTCGTCTTCCTCCGCTTATCCGGGTCCGGGTCGCGGGGGCAGCATCCCAATTAGGGAGCTCCAGGCCGTCCTCTCCCCGGCCTTGTCCACCAGCTCCACCGGCAGGACCCCAAGGCGTTCCCGGACCAGATTGGAGATGTAACCTCTCCAACGTGTCCTGGGTCGACCCGGGGGCCTTCTGCCGGCAGGACATGCCCGAAACACCTCCCCGGGGAGGCGTCCAGGAGGCATCCTGACCAGATGCCCAAACCACCTCAACTGGCTCCTTTCGATCCGGAGGAGCAGCGGTTCTACTCCGAGTCCCTCCCGAATGTCCGAGCTCCTCACCCTATCTCTAAGGCTGAGCCCGGCCACCCTACGGAGGAAACTCATTTCGGCCGCTTGTATCCGCGATCTCGTTCTTTCGGTCATTACCCAAAGCTCATGACCATAGGTGAGGATTGGGACGTAGATCGACCGGTAAATCGAGAGCCTGGCTTTCTGGCTCAGCTCCCTCTTCCCCACGACAGATCGGCTCAGCGTCCGCATCACTGCAGACGCCGAACCAATCCGCCTGTCGATCTCCCGATCCCTCCTACCCTCACTCGTGAACAAGACCCCGAGATACTTAAACTCCTCCACTTGAGGTAGGACCTCTCCCCCGACCCGGAGGTGGCAAGCCACCCTTTTCCGGTCGAGAACCATGGTCTCAGATTTGGAGGTGCTGATCCTCATCCCAGCCGCTTCACATTCGGCCGCGAACCTACCCAGCAAGAGCTGAAGGTCAGAGCTGGATGAAGCTAGGAGGACCACATCATCCGCAAAAAGCAGAGACGAGATTCTCCTGCCACCGAACTCGACACACTCCACACCACGGCTGCGTCTAGAAATTCTGTCCATAAAAGTGATGAACAGAACCGGTGACAAAGGGCAGCCCTGGCTGAGTCCAACCCTCACTGGGAACAGGTCCGACTTACTACCGGCTATGCGGACCAAACTCACGCTCCTCTGGTAAAGGGACTGAATGGCCCTTAACAGAAAGCCACCCACCCCATACTCCTGGAGCCATAAGCCTTCTCCAAATCCACAAAGCACATGTGGATTGGTTGGGCAAACTCCCATGCCCCCTCCATCACCCTTGCAAGGGTATAGAGCTGGTCCACAGTTCCACGGCCAGGACGAAAACCACATTGCTCCTCCTCTATCTGAGATTCAACTATCGATCGGACCCTCCTCTCCAGTACCTTGGAGTAGACCTTTCCAGGGAGGCTGAGGAGTGTGATCCCCCTATAGTTGGAACACACCCTCAGGTCACCCTTCTTAAAGATGGGGACCACCACCCCGGTCTGCCACTCCCTAGGAACTGCCCCCGATGACCACGCAATGTTGTAGAGACGTGTCAACCATGACAGCCCTACAACATCCATAGCCTTGAGATACCCAGGACGAACCTCATCCGCCCCCGGGGCTCCGCCGCTGTATAGTTGTTTGACTACCTCAGCAACTTCTGCCCCCGAGATCGGACAGTCCATCCCCAGGCCTCCCAGCTCTGGTTCCTCCTCGGAATGCGCATTGGTGGGATTGAGGAGCTCCTCAAAGTATTCCTTCCACC